GCCTCTCGTTGAGCAATTTAATCAACATCTGCTTTCGTTGATTCCAGCTGTCCATTGGCAACAACAACTGCTGTTGTGTTTACCGTGCCTGCTGCTCCACGACGCTCTGTTTTGCTTGCCAGTCGGCTAGCCAGCTTGTCAGCCTGGCCATCGGTCGCTCGGTCAGTCGAAAAGGTAGGTAGGTATGTGGCTAGCATGTCTGGCGATCCTCTGGTTCGGTGTCGCTTTCATCTTCCCTCCGTAAGCTTCCCGCGTGAGCACGCTTACCAACTGTAGCTTTCTTGCCATATGTAGCCCCTTCTGCCACGGGTCTGCTGTCTCCAGCGTGCGAGGATAGTGTTTCTGTTGCGAACTTCTGTTCATGTGATTTTCTTGTTGATTTCGCCGCTTGTCCGTCTTCTCACGGGATGCAGGCAAACGGCTGTCTGACCAGAACAGCACTTCAGTCAAGAAAAAAACTTTGGACCCCATCTGTTGTTACGTTCATTGACAAGCACTGCGTGGAAAGACGCCGCGCCGTCAAGGAGACCGCCGCGCCGGTCAGGCTTGGTCTTCCCCGCTGCGCTGTTTTACCAAAACCCGTACTTTACGTTCTTCTCCTGATTTAATCGAGTCCGGTCGAGTTTGCCTGCTGACAAACTGAATGAACGAGCGAAGTGTCCCACGCGACGGTGTTCGTCATCGCCGTGTTTGATAATCGCGATGGTGGAGGCAGCATCCGTGGGCCACGTGCATAGAAGCGTCCCTCGCCACAAAATGCTGTCGGGAGAGAAAGGAGGGAAGCTCCTTGGCCACTGGTATGGTCCTCCTGTTGGCACAAGGCTTGTGCCGATCTTGCCTCTCGCTTCCCGCCGGTCGTTACAGTCTTTCGTTGTTGTTCGTCGTCATCTTCCTCGTCGTGATGATCCTCCAGAGGAACCCCGAGCTGCTTCCGAGCCTAATAATGGATAAGGACGTGATCGATGACAGCGAGGTGTTGAGTTTACTCCAGCGGCTCGAGGGCCTACTGCCGAAAAAGCGTCCGAATCTGACCAACCTGGAAGTGCTGCAAAGTGCCATAGACTACATCCAAGACTTGAGCTCGCTCTTAGAGAGCCGGCGACCCGAGCAAACGCTGATGGTGTGATGTGGAGGAAGAAGAGAGTTTCTCAGACTCTCTCGGATCGGAGCCAAAGATGTTTTATCAAATGGACAAAGTGCAGTTGAGGTGATCGCATGGCGGAGAGGCCTCACGGGCCGTGAATTTCAGCCAGAGCGAAGTGGAATCTAGTCCTTGAGGAAGATGCTTGCGCACTCGGTTCACATTCGTTGGGTCTGCGTCGATCCGATGAATGTGGATTCAAAGATGACGAAAGCATTCATCGAAGTGTATAATATTGACTATAATATTGGTCGGATATGACGTGCGGAAACGGTAACTTCCGGATCAATCAAACCAAGGGGGAAGATTCCGTATGTTCGAAGGCATATGGGACCCCCGTGACACGATTCCCGGGAAACCAGGAAGAGAGTCGAGAAGCATTGTATTCATCATGTACGTGTAATGATCGAGTGAATATTTATTTCCGGAAATGCGAATGAGCAGAAGAGCCCAACTTGTGGAATAAAAATGTTATCTGATAATCCTTTGGAGCCGCGAATGGTCTTTTATGGCTCCGAGTGTGGTCACGTATTTAAGAGCTTCCCGCGACGATCTGATGGACTGATTGTGGACCGCGTTATAATTATACGTAGGCTATACATTTATGAAGGTTCTCGTTATGTAAAGTAATAATTTCTCCGTCCTCCATCGGTCTCGACATCCTGAACAGAACATTCTCCTTCGGTTTACGGTCGAGGGGCTCCGATGGGAAAACTCGCCGGAAGTGCGACGCCGACACCTTTTCCCGCTCCCGGGCGCGGATGACTGCGAGCTTTTTTCTCAGCCCGGGTAAAAACATCTAAACACCCTCGTCGTTCGCCTCGCTGGCTGCGTGTTCTTTCTCTTTTTCGTCCCCAACATTTTGTTTTGGATCGAAAATCCGACGTGTTGTGTAATCCACCCTTTAAACAAAATGCTCTCGAATCTAAGTCTTCCATTCTCCTGTAATCCTCCCCGAGCCTCGTCGCTTGCCTGAGTGGCACCCTGGCAAGCGGGCAGGCGGCTGGTTGAGTGCCAGGCGCGAAGTACATTACAAACTCGAATGAGTGCGATAAGTACACAGCTGCCGATACTCTCTGAGACCAAATCGAGTTACCTGGCATCCTCATTCAACCCCTCCGCTGTGCGATCATCGCGGCTGTTTCTCGCTGCTGATCCTACCGCACGGACTCCGGAGTCCACGGTTTGGCAAGAAAGCAGGCAGGTGTGCCGCAGTGGATATCTGGACCAGAAGGTCAGCTGGCAAAGCCTCGTCAACATCTGCCACAGGCCTAGCAGCTGCCGCAAAAAGACTACAGCTGCGCATTGGTCTTAACGTGGGTAGTCGATATCCATGCAAGCCATGCGCGCGGTGCCCGTCGACCCCGCCCCGCGAGGACTGTTGCTGAGCTTCGATAATGAAAAATATTCCCAACGTTCGAATGTTCGCCGGCTTTTGACACTCGACTCGGAGCGATGATTCGTGGGCTCTCGCGTCTCTAACCTATACGACGTTCGGAGAGCATCGAACGTCGTCGAATTTTCTTACTCAATAGATCGGTCAGAGACATAAACACAGATGGAATTCGAATCGGATCGCGCATGTGGTCCGTCCACATCCAACGAAACATGTAGGAAACAAATTTTGTCGGCCCTAAGAACTCTTGGAAGAAAACTACCTAGCACTCATAGAACCGAGTTCGCGAGGGGAGGAGATCCTTAAAAAATCAACGTGGAGTAGAAGGTTTGAGGAAGAAAAATTCCAGCTCTAAAAACTCCCAGGAGCGGATCGTCTGCGAATCGGGGAAACTACGCGTGAAACTTTCCTCGAGCTGTTGGCTCGTTGAAATAGACTGTCATTCAACGCATTCTTTCCATTGTTAGTTCTCCCCCCGTTCAGTGGAAATCGCCCGAGACGAGCAGAGCGCAAGACAAGGTTTAGCGAACTCATTCTGAAATATCTCATTCAAGCTCTGGATACTTGATTCGAGCACGGTCACGAGTTCGGACGAGTTGCTCCTTGTCGCCTGTCGAATGGACGTCTTGGGTCTCCTCCTACTTTTCCTCTCCTTCCTGACCACTGTTGAGTCGGGCCTCGGGTATTTATAGAGACGGACGACGAACGTGTCATCTGGCACTGGCTGTCTCCCGGAGGAGCCCAATGCCGGTTTGTTCGTCGAGTCTGGCCATCCACCGCTTATCGATTTCTCCCTGCGCCGAAACTTTTCTCACGCAGATCTCCGATTATTCCCTGCGACTCGGCGCTCCGCAAAAAAACGAGGAGCCGGGTTCGTTTGAAGAAAGCTCGCGTACGCACATGGACGTATGAGGTCTGGATTGCTTTCTGGAGCCCACCTCAGGATAGGACCGAGGGAGGTCCACGATGCGAGTCTCGATGGAATCCGTGCCGAAATCACGGAGTGAGGGGACGGTCAGCCCTCCTGACAACGTTCGGTGGCCAACACCGGCAAAGGAAAGAGACAGGAAAAGAAACACCGGATGGTGCTCTATGAATGTGCGCGACTGTGTCTGCGGCCAATACTATGCTGCGGGCAGCATGAGTTCGTGGTGCTGGTAGGGTAAATATAGAGCAGTCGTCATCATCGACGAGATGTGCATCCCTCGAGCGGCAGCGCTTGTAGCGGCCGGACAGATGGCCTGGAACCCAGACGAGATGCTGGGAAGCGCGCCAGCATCCATCCCACAATTCGCAACCGCCCGCCCGTCCGTCCGTCAGCCCGCCGGCCGCTCAGCAAGCCTGCCTGCCGCCCGTCCGTCCGCCCGAACGGAAGAGAGCCTATGGGAACCAGTGCACGGACAGAAGGAACGAACTCACGGGCTGCGGCAAACGTACGAAAAGGAAATTGCTTCTCAAGTAGAGACGACGACAGCAGCGGCATCAGCTACGGGGACCGGCAACTAAACAGTGGGACGAACGCTGGCGAGGGTGGGCGCCCCGACCAAGCGACTGTTTGCATTGCGGGGTGTAACAAGATCAGGGAACTTGCTGCGTGCGCGCTCGCGCAACGGGTTATTAATGTGGAAAAAAAAAGATGGAGAGCAAGACACGACCGAACATGTGCGGGCAGGCGGAATGGGGACGGACGGGCGCGCCAACGGATGGACGGGCAGGCGAACTTCGCGCAGGAAGATGAGACAGGATAAGCTTCCATTATACAGCAGTGGTGTCCGAGCCACAACAGCCGGCCGCAGAACTTTTTCTCGAAATTCCTTCCCCCGTTCGGCCGCTCGAGCGCCCAGCCGCTCGGCCGATGGGAAATTCGCAGAGTCGACGTCTGGACTCACCTGGCCTTTTTCTCACAAGAGGGAATTCTTCAAACGAACATACCACTGTCCGCGGAATTATTATGAGCCTAACATTCGCCAGGAGGAGAAAAAAACTGATGACTAGTAACTAGTGACTGAAAAACTCGACTTCGTCGACTGTGCTGAGAGGGTGACATATCACTTGGGAGAGTATTCAAGCTAGAAAAGTCGACGGCTACCAGAAACGGATTTGGCAGAAGTATGGGGACTCCCGAACTCCGCTCCAACTGAAATTCGAGAGAGATGATAGAGGACGAAGCGCTGAAATAAATCGATTGCATAAGGAAGAAAATTTATTCGGGCCGGGAATTGTGGCGAGTACCAGGATAGGGGAAATATTGACAGAGGGAAGCGCTTGAGTAAACCAGGAACTTCTCAAGAGGGGGGAACACGATAAAATATTTGGCACCGAGGGCGAAGAGTTCAGCGATATACGCTGGAAGGCTGATGAAAAGCAATAAATATTTGTGGGAACGATAGTTCCCATCGCGCCTTTCCACATGCCTGCGTAGGTAAACAGTTAACGACACCTGCAGTCAAGAGGGAAGTGTTTGCTAACAACGTGCTTAGGCTCTCCTCTTGTAGAAAGCGCCTCGTACGGGACGGAGGGCGGCGAAACCTTGAGCGGCCGGGGCAGGAAGATATACGGGAGCAGCGAAAGTGGAACGAGCTTTCAATCGTTGAGATTCGAAAGCAAAGGCGGCCTCGGGTCCTGTGGGAGCGGACGATTGAATCGTAACATCGGCAGGGTTCTTGGATTCGGTTCCGAGTTCGTTGGTGACGACGTCAGCGTGGAAGCCGGTCTCGTCCGCGTAATAGCTCACGGTTCTCTGTCGACCGTCGGCGAGCGAGATCGTGTATTTTCCGGTGACGCGTCCAGTGCCGTCAGAGCTTTCCTCCGCGGAAGAAGATCCTGGCGGGAGAGGGAGCCAAATGAGGAAGAAACGTAACGTCCAATGGGAAACCGAGGATCCACGCTCAAACTCTAGTTCGAACTCGGAGCACTGATTTTCCACGGAAGACACGAATTCTGAGATGAAGCTGAATGCTGAATTTCCATTCCGTTGATTCTCTCAGTCAGTCAGAGACGTCGGTCCTTACCTTCCACATCTTGAGTAGAGTATCCGTACGTGTAGGGTGTGGGGGGTCCGTAAACTTCAGGTTGAGCGTATTTCTGCGCGGACACAGACGCCACAAGAAGGAGCACGGCAGCGAGACAACGCATCTTGTTATTCTTTGACGCAGCGACCCAAAGTTCTGTAAATGCCTCCATTGTTCGAAGCTTATATACCCTCTCAGCGGTCGGATGACCATCGGGGGCATCCGGATCGGAAAGAGAAGCTTATTACGACTTGGCTAGCGAACACCTCCAACGTTTCCATGAACTCTGTCCAAATTCTCTACGACGCGTTCGGCGTAATAATGTCCAACTGGAATCTTAAGGAGCATGCTCTTATTGACAGAGCCTTGTCATCTTGTTGTGATTGACTTCGGGCCGCTCGAATGGGGTGAAGCGACGAGCATCGATCCTTGAAACAGGGAGAGGTTCAATGGTTTCGTTTCGTTCGTCGATATTTCCCGCCAGAGACTAAAATCAATTTTGATCTTAGCTAGGAACGAGAAGGCTATAGTTAGAGCTCAAGGTTCGCGCTCGGGAGAAATGGGATAAATCAAAAATACGACGCTCTCGGTTGTTGCTCCCGGGGCGACTGATTCGGAAATGATATTGAGGGGGTTTTTCACCGCTTGTTGCGTGTGCCATGTTTTCTCAACGATTACACAGCTCGACAAAAAAAAACTTTTTTCGCGTTACAAAGAAAGTGAAAGCTATTTCGGGGTAAACCGGGGGCGCTGAATCCGAATTTCTTAACAGATTTCCTCCATCAGGTCCAGTTTTTCCGAAATTCCACTTTTTCGATTTTTTGCCATTTTTCGTCTTTAAAAAATTCTAGCTCCGCCCCTGAGTGGACTAGATCGATGAAACTTTGGTGGCGGATAGAGCTCGGTTGGGGCTATACCTGGCCGAGTTTTGGTGCGATTCGTAGCAGTGGTCTCTGAGCTAGAGCCATCGGAAACTAAAAAAAGAAGAAAAAAGTGGGAGAGGGACCTCTTAGAAAGCACTTGACGGAAAAACTAGGACCGTTGAAGCGGTCTGACCTCGACAATTCGATAGAGGAGGCTTTTACGAGCATTTTGAGACCAAGCAGAGCAAAATCGGTCGATCCATTCAGTTTTTATTCGCAAAAAACATTGAAAATTTGAAAACGCCTAAAAGTCGGAATTCGTCTGTTCCGGCTTTTAAGCAGAAGCTTCGACCGTTGGGCCGTTGGAATCTTCCGTAAAATCAGCGAGGTCGATCAATCCGCATCAAATCGAGCCGTCAGCGATTGTCTGGAATGTGGTCGATCAGGGGCTTCCCTCATGAGGTTCCAGCAATAGTCTGCCATCATAGACTCATCCCACCTCCCTTGGTATCGCTCCTCCATGGTGCTGATGTCTTGATGGAACCTTTCGCCTTGCTCGTCGCTCATTGACCCTAAATTCTCAGGGAATAGATCAAGGTGGGCGTGGAGATAATGAACCTTGATACTCATTCTACATCCGAGAATGCGGAAGCTTTCTACAAGTCTCTGCACCAACTCCACGTAGTTGGAAGCTCTCGTGTTCCCCAAGAAGTTCGTGGCGACTGAGACGAAGGATTCCCAGGCGGCGGCTTCCTCCGGGTTGATCGATTCGATGAAGTTTGGGTCCTTCATGAGTCGCCGGATCTGCGGCCCGTTGAGCACTCCCGCTAGCAGTTTCTGTCTGCTCACGGGACGGAGCTTCTGGGCTACGTATTCGAAAGCTTAAAAGTCGGCACAGACGAATTCCGACTTTTAAGCGTTTTGAAATTTTCAATGTTTTTGCGAATAAAAAACTGAACGGACCGACCGATTTTGCTCTGCTTGGTCTCAAAATGCTCGTAAAAGCCTCCTCTATCGAATTGTCGAGGTCAGACCGCTTCAAAGGTCCTAGTTTTTCCGTCAAGTGCGTTTTAAGAGGTCCCTCTCCCACTTTTTTCTTATTTTTTTTTGTTTCCGATGGCTCTAGCTCAGAGACCACTGCGACGAATTGCACCAAAACTCGGCCAGGTGTAGCCCCAACCGAGGTCTATCCGCCACCAAAGTTTCATCGATCTAGTCCACTCAGGGGCGGAGCTAGAATTTTTTGAAGACGAAAAATGGCAAAAAATCGAAAAATTGAAATTTCGGAAAAACTAGACCTGATGGAGAAAAACTGTTATGAAATTCGGATTCAGCGCCCCCGGTCTACCCCGAAATAGCTATCACTTTCTTTGTAACGATTTGGCTGTCGAGCTGTGTTATTGAGGTCCCTTGAAGACCAGCTGAGGCTGCAGCAGGAGCTGACCACAGAAAAGAGCTTAGGGAACTTTGTGGCATGCGAACATTTTCCGGTTACTATATCGAGACGATACGACTTCAGCGGGAACAAATTAAGCACAGAACGACCACCGATAGCCGCACAAGATGCACGAATCGACCGAATGGAAGTCATCGCAGAAAATGATATTTCTTTTTCCTCAGAAGTCCTCGCAGAAAATTATTCGAAGTACCCGAAGTCAGACCACGATGATTCACAATGGCGTCCTTGATCAAATTTGATCCGATCTGAAACCCGTTTAACGACGAGCAGAACTGAGCCGCAAAGTGTGACCTGTGTCGAATGGACACAGATTTCAGGACAGTGGTGATTTGAATCGAGCGGGTGAGCGAAAACAATACGCTAATGTCGAGGACGAATGAAGTCGACCAGAAACCAAATAAAGATGAATGCCGCGGTGACCGGAGACGATCTTCTAGGGACCGGTTCCATTCACAGAGGAAGAGCGTGGCTGGTTCGTGACGTTGACTTGCCGCCCGAACGTGCTAACCCTGCGACTCTCTGTCGCCGATGATGATGATCAAATGAGGAATATCTCCTAGCGTCATGGACGGCCCCTCTGACGATACGATCGCTAAATTCACCGACGTGCCGTATAGTGGTCAACCCGTTACAAGGCACAGAAACGTCGAGTTTTCCAGATTTCCTGCGGTTACAACGGCGGAACTGGTCCGTGATGTACCCGCTATAACTGGTTTTATTTTCATCGCCTAGCAAGCTCAGTCAGATACTCTTCATCGACGGACATGATTTATTGTTTCCAGCCGATTCAAGGCAGCATGCATGAAAACTGTTGGCAGAAACGGCGACGTCTATTGTAAAAACCGCCTTATCGGCGACGGCGTTGATTCGCGTGGAACACCGACCTTTTCTTGAACAAAGCCCCATTCCAATTTGAGGGAAGTTTTGCTCTTCTGGATCTGATATCGTCGTGATCGTCGGCGTCTATTGTGGAACACGACTGCGAAATCCGGCGTAATCATTAATTAGTATATTTATGTCATGCCATGCTGATATTCTGAACTTCTCGATGATGAACACGTCGGGCAGTTCCCCGTAGCGAACATGACTCGAATGTCGAACAAAAGTTGGGAGAAAGGCTCACTGTCGCCCTGACTGATCGAATTGTTTCGGTGAATCAAAGCCTTATTCGAATCAATGCGGGTTTCCTATATATTAATCAAGTATATCGCTCCGGAATCAAGAGGAAAACCTTCTCGCTCCTCCGGTTACAGTATAAGCTCATCGGTCGTACTCATGGAACACTGCCGAACAGCTCATTTTAGCGAACGACTTGCATTACTTGCAAGGGGCCGCATTCCAAAAATGTCACCTACGTCTCTGATGCTACACATCGGCATTTGAAGGGGTGAGTGAGGAGGAAGTGTTTTATTAAAAATTGTCTCTCAGCCACTCGAGGTACTTCGTGATCCTAGTGTAGGCGCCCGGATAACCTGGAGTTGCGCATCGTTTCCCGAAAGACACTACTCCGATCAGGTAGAAGCGATCATCATCAAAATAAACCAGCGGTCCTCCTGAATCTCCCTGCAATAGTCGGATGCTCGCATTTCCCAATGTAATTTCCAGATTCGAGTCCCTCCGCTCATACATGTCATTTGTATTTTCAGGTATTCATTCGAGTCATCGGTCTAAGGATCACCTGACAAGAGTCCTGGAGGCCTTGCCCATCTCCTGCGCACAAATACTCCTGCGTAATTTGTACTTCTTTCTGGAACGCTTTGGCACATTCTTCTTGGCTCCAAATCCTGATGAGGGCTTGCTTGAGAACGTTGCTCCCCCGACCCTCTGCGAACAGGTGATATTTTGATCTATCAGTCGGGAAGCTTTCAAACAGATCGCGAAGCTTTCAAATAGGAGTTCATCACGTCTGCTGCGCACAGCCTGTACGTTTGGGAGCCATGTATGGCAGGCTCCCAATGTTCGGAGAATGGCTTCATGCCAGTCTCATGATTCACCCTCAGGTCTTACCGTATTTCGTGTAGCCCCATCCAGTGACGAACGCGTGCTCCCCGGTAATGTCATCCGGGACAGCTTTGAAGGGCAAGCACACCGGATGTATGTAACGCGTGAAAGGCGCGTCCGCGGCTAGGTAAAGCAGGCCGATATCATTGAGGTACGAGCGGGGATTGAACGCTGGATGTCTCTTGACCCTTTCCACGGCTACGTCAATCGTGCTCCCTTTGGGGAGCTCACTGACTTCGGCGATGTTGTGGTCCCCTAATCGCACGACGAAGACACTCGGATGGAGTCTGTTGAAGGATTTTAGTGGTAGGGCTTCTTATATTTCGATCTCCCCTCGGAAGACCATCGGGTTCGGGTTCGAATGTCAATCAAAAACTAAGACCTCGTTCGAAACTCCAAAAACCTACGTTTGGGGCCTGTTTCCGCCGCCGAAGCAGTGAGCCGCTGTGACCACGTGCCGATGCGATACGAGAGCCCCTCCACAAGCTTGTATGAAAGTACCTCTATTCCGCACGAAAATGGCCGCCTGAAATGATTCGCTTGAATTGCCAAAGCTCGCGGGATACTTCTCTCGAGACATTCGATTGAATATGGTGGCTTACCATCCACGGCCAAGCCCCAGGGTGCGCTTCACTGCCGCCCACGACGCGACTCAAACTGACATTCGAAAATCCACAGGATGTCGGGAGGAATTTCGGCTGTATAGGTCTACCGTTGAAACCGGCCAGAGCTGGCCGAGGTTTCGGTTTCGGAGTCGTGGTTGTTGTGGTTGTTCTCGGAGGATGGACGCCGTGGGGAAAAGGAGGCTTCTTCAATCGCTGTGGCGGCGGCGGGGTGTGGTGGGGCAAGGCGACGACAGGGCGGGGCCGTTGCGGTTCAAAGGGTCTATCGGGTGGATACACGACACTCGTGCCCTGATCTGGGAATACGGGGATTCGCTGAGGCTCCTGGGCCATAGGAATCGTTGAATTCGTCCTACGGTAGCCGGGTGGACAGCAGAGAAGCGGTGTTCCGGCCTGAAAACGCTTGAACTCAATGGGCGCATATTCCGTATGTCTCACAGAAATATATCGGAACCTCGATCAGAGCGAGGAGGGAGACTTACCTCGAAGCCGCATATAAAGCTTCGAAGGAACTCGATGTCCCGAATTTTCAGTAATCCATGGCACCTTCGGATGCTGATGCATCTGCCGATATCCCCGGTCGGCGTGTCACAAGGCTGCTCATTCTCTGACGGGAACCGCCATCGAGCTGGAATTTCGAAAATGTCTAAAAAACCTGTCAGAGAAATTGAAGTTTCAAATCGAGGTTCGGGATTTTGCTCCGAAGACACAGCTGTACCAGGACGTCCAAGATGCTGGATTCCTGCAAAGTCCGTCTCGGTGATGCCCTCCGTGCTCAAACAAATCATCGTCCCTGGGTTCCTTGACCGAATGGGCCAGGGACTGATTCTATGAGCTTCCGGGGAAATCTTTTCGGCTCTCAATCCCCATCTCCGCTGACGCATCCACACATGGTTGTCTCACGATTTCTAGCACTGGGAGTTCCTCGAGTCGTCGGTTGCGTTCTCGGAAGCGCCTGTTTTGAGACCGGTATGATGTCACAGCGGTCCGATACCGCGCAACGCACGGCTGACCTGAATTTCTGGCTGTGCCGGTCCCATTGCGAGTTTCAACGAGCTATCGCCTCATTTGAATACGAAAGACAGTCCTGGTGAACCAGATTCTGCCGGCATCGAGCAGAACGGAGTTTTCAACTGATAGCCGATCGACTATAATTTCGTTTCGAACGGCTCTTGACTCGACAGGAACGCCGTCCTCTCTGAAAAGTTCCAGAATTCTCCTACCGACTGAGCTATCCGACTAACCTTGTACACCTTTCTTCAGAACTTCTTCCACTGTCGAAATCTCGGTGTCCAGCGATCTTCCGCGAGCAACTATCACTGAGCCCACCAGCCAGAAATTAAGCACTCTCGAACGTAACATTCCGAAGCCTGAAATCATGGCCTGCAGCAGATAAATCCCCTCAATCGGCGATTCGGCCTTCTTGCGGGCCGCTGAATCGCGCCGCGGGCCGGTGTGGTCGGACTGTGCGCGGGTCGACGGGGATCATCTTCTGAAAGCCGCGTGGGAGAGGTGCCCACTGGCCGAACATCTGAATCACCTGAAGGAATGGATGACATCCGTTGAATCGCTCCATTTATCAAATTTCACCGCTTCTATCACGGCAGGGCTCCCTCCCTCCCGGGCTCCGTTCGTCGGAAAGCTGCGGGCTGGACCACGAGCCGAACCTACCTGATGCGGGTACGATCGATCCAGTATTGCAACCGAGGACGGCTACCGGAAGCGAAGGTTCCAGGAGGAATCGAACCAACGCAATCTCCCGCCCTGAAAGAGTCGTGGCGGCCTAGTGAAGAGAGGGAGACTCGTTCGATGGTGGGACTCCTCGCGCGAGAAAGAATTGTTGCGCGAACCTGGCCATCATTGAACTCGACCACCCTCTGGTGGGCTCCGCACAACACGGCTTATTAAACTCCACTCCGAATGGAGATCCTCGGAAACTTGTCACTTATCCATGCTGGATCTGCATCGGGAGAGCTGAACCTCCTCAAACCATCCAATCGGTCGAAGTCCTCTGGACAGTTTCCGCGGAAGTCTAGGCTAAGTCACATTGACCTCACGCCATTTTTTCAAGCAGCAAGAATGATGAGGCAACCACAGGACTGAAAAGCGCGCAACAGAAGCTGCGTTGCATGGACATTATTTGGATAAAAGGTATGAGATGACTTGCAGTGCCCGGGCCATGAGCAAGGACGAGAGCCTCGAGCCGTACAAGGCGCATACAATCGTCTCCGGTACGTCGAGGTAGGTTCAGGAATCATTAAATTGCCCGCGGCTGATGGGCTCCTTGATTTCCCACTCCCGGTACCGAATTTCCGGGAACACTTTTCGGACAGGTCGCGGCGATTTAAGAGTAAAAATTTCTGTATGAATGAGATCTTGCCGATACAGCCGCTCGAATAAGACCAATCTTCTACTGAAGGAAATGGAAACTTACGACTCCGTAAGGATGTAGGTCGACACAGGATAGAAAGGCGGAATTCGGAAACCGATTTTTACCATTTTCAGCCTAAAACCAATGAACGAATCGATCCCAGCCTGACGGGGACTTCAATCCCCAGTGGATGCCAGAGACAAACAATCATTCAGAGTGAAAACCCCGAGAGTTGTTCCGGACTTCTTGCGGGAACGAACCATAAGCCAGCAATATTCGGTTGACGGTAGCCGCCGGGCGCTACTGATGTGAATTCGAATCTCTCCATAAGCTTCTTCTAGTATCCTGACGGTCCATTCGGTGGTCCAAATCGGAGACGACTGGACCTCCCTACATTACTCGGCCTGGCGAATCTGTAGCCTCGAGTCCAAAACATGGAGAGTTTGAAAAGTTCCGTGATCGCGCCGATGCACAAGTTTAATAATGGATTCCCTTATCGCAAGAAAGGCGGACACCTGGATAGCATTCTCAAAGGTGAGCTCAGAGTAATTAGCCCCTAGATATAGCGGAAGGAGGCAGCGAGGGTATCTGAAGTCCCCGGCCGGCCGGTTCGAGTCTCCCGATTCCGCGCTGAGTGAAGAATTCGATTAAATGGCCAGGTCCTAGTCGCCGGAATGAGAGCCAAGCGTCTCCTATATTGGCATATCTAGTCTGAAAATAATCCGATCGGCATTTCTTAGAATCACCGTCGCCTTTCGGATCTTCCTCTTACCGATCCACTCAGAATTTATCGGGAGCCGAGGTGATCTCTGATTCAGTCACGACAAGTCGGGGGAATATTCCCGAAAGATACATTCAGTTGATCTGATGCGTGCTTCCGAGGGAAGGATGACGGGATACCGCGCTTCCCGACGAAACCAGGATCTCAGCAAAGGTTACATTCGCGAACAACTCACATCAGAAAGTCGTATGCCGCGCAGAACATGTCAAGAGGATATCCTTCATTGGTTCTCCCTATCCTCGGCGAAGGACGCCAATAGAAGCATTGATTACCATTGATATTGGCGATCCGACTGGGCTCGGCACTCAATCCATGACTCTCTCGAATTCGTCTGCCAAGTCCCGCCGCGCTCGCCCGAGAATTCAATGCAGCGCCGAAGATTCGAGTCCGGCTCGCTGGTTAACCCGAGTCATTCTCTACGGGCGTCATATGATCATTGCTTGTGGAGGTTGGTCTTAGTTCCGGAAACTGCAATCGATAGATCTCACTAAGGGCTTCCCAGCTTCAGCTCTCTTAACCTGGTAGTTGACGGCGGCTTCGAGAGTCGCATCGATCGTCAATAATACATACAATACTTATTCATACTCTCGAAAGTTGGTCAGAGTAGCTGGCGCTCGCGTTGTATTCGGAAACTCCTTGGAGGCGATACACATCGCTTGGAAGAAATCACGATTCGAAACTCTCTCCTGATGAAGACTGATTTTCGGCACCCTCCCAAGTCTGATCTCGCGTCACGTCCGATGCCATGGGTGTCTCGAACCTCCAGTATATCAACAGTCGGTTTTAAACAAAGCTGTAGTGCATCACAAATAAAGGCCGCAGAGCTTTTGCGGGAATTTCGCAATGACCCGTGGAACATTCGTAGCCCAGTGTCACAAGGAACCGGACGAGAGCTGGAATCGATGATGAGCGCTCTCCTCCGCACCGCCCTCTCCGTCAGGCTCTCTCTGTATATGAGCTCGGGTAGAACATTTCTGTGACTGGGGGAATTGGTTCGTAGATGCCCGGGTAATTTCTCAAAAGATTGAGTCGTGTTCCCGCTCTGTGGACTACTAATGAGGCTCCCTCGATTAGTCAGTCTCAGATTACTTTCTTTTCCCGATGCGGAAGCCAAGTGAGCTGTGATTTTTCGAAGAGCTCATGTCTTATGGATTTCTTCACGACACGCTAGCGATTCATTTCGAAACCTCCGGGAGAAGTTCCGGAGGAGTCGCACCATAATTCTGTGACTCCGTTCCGAAATTTCGTCTGTCTACATTTCTCACCGTTTTTGTACTTCCGTAACACGTTTGAACGAGCTTGCGGCTCTTTCTCAGGAATATATTCAGAAGAATGGGGAGCGGAGAGAAATCTGTCAATATTCACGTCATTGCAATCGGTAATCGGTAGTCGACGGTTAGCTTCGATGTCGCGAATGATGTTCACCTCAGAAATGGAAGACCTTGACCGATGGGCTGTGATGGACGACATGATGGCCTAATTTACCAGTCTCAATCGTGTGTTCTGGGGTATGGTGATCTCAATTCAATTACGTCATCGGGAATTGTAAATCTTCGAGCTCGGCGAAAGCTCTATTGTCGCTGACACGCTCGGGCCACGAGCGCAAAGACCTAGGCAGCTCTGCACCTGGAGCAAATCACAGAGGTGCAGCGGCTGTGTACCTCCAACTGACTTGCTGCTCCCCCTGAGTTTTCCTTTGGGAACGACTCGGCTACAGTTTTTCGCCGACTCCTTCCAAACCTTCTGCGTCACTCAGCGGCTTGTCATAAGGACATGAACTAGATAACTGACTGATGGAAACGCCAGAGAGCACCTATTCTAGGCTCCACTCCATTCCTATTCAAATTAGATTCACTTGACTCTAAATTGAAACTAGGAGAGTCCAACGCGCACCTAGGTCTTCGACGCTCTTCTGCGTCAGCTCACGAGACTCGCTTCTGACTTCTGAGGCTGTCTTTTGGTATCGCATTCTTTATTATATGTATTATGATGAGCTGCCATAGGGCTATGGCAAGGAGCCAGATCAGCATTGTTGAAACGCTTGGGCCAGAATGAATGTTCAACGAGGTCATTCCTTCGGTACGGGTAGTATCATGGGTGGTATGGGGTAGTGAGGAGACGAGAGCCACAACAGACAAGGGTGTATCTTGGTAATTCGACGCACTTGTGAGAAGTGATGAAAGATGAGTGAGGATACCTGGTAGGCCAGCAAGCTTGTGTGGGGCGAAAGTCCTCCTAGAAGCCAAAGTATTACAGAGACGCAGTAGATATTTGATGACGAGATCATGGAACGGGTTGCTTACATCATCATGAACTTTGAGACAGACTCCGGACAGCAGGAGAAAGGAAGAGGGAGGAAGTGCCTAAGTGGTCGGATTGGGTAGGTGAGGAAGGGGTAATCGAGAAAAGCTTTATCGTTGAGACCTCCGTAGTTCGGGAGATCAGGTCGGGAAGATTCCCACTTCGATGAGGCGAGGACGCGACCAGCTGGGGGATTTGCAAGAAAAGGATGAAATCGCAGGAAACTCCCTCCTTGGAGGGTGATCCATCAGAGGAAATCAGAGATATAGAGAGGCATGGCCAAACGGAAGCTGGAGAGTCGTCGGGATCGGCACAGCGGATTACGGGGAATCAGATGAAGATCATCAGGGAATGAAGACAAAGAGGCGTACGACGCTCCCTGCCGGATGACGGAATTACTCTATACTTCATGTCCGCGGAGCGGACATCGATGTTTAATTCCCAAAAGCACGAGGTCACGGGGCCCCAAGAGAATACTCCGCGCACGAAGATGCGGATGCCCCCATCTAACTGAGGGTCGGGACCGTCACGTCGGGACATTGAATATTCGCCAAGAGTGAGGAACCTGGTGGGCTTCCACCAGGATTTACAGATGATATCACATCCACAGGACTGTCGACGCAATCAGACGGTGGAGTATCGAGTTGCCTGAGGGGCAGGGGACGTTCCTTTCGTGGGTTTGCGTTCTGAGAATTCTCCCGCTGGAAGTTGGCGGTGCGGTCTTTAGTCCGCCCATGAATATATCGCCGCGGAAAATAGTCAGACCTCCTCTGAGTTAGGAAAGACATGGAGTAGCATGCCCTTGGATGGGGCGAGCTCGAACAGTGATTGAATTCGATATTGGAAAACTTCACGAATGCTCGCGTTGGCCTCCGCAAGCTCGCCTACCCTATTTTGGGGAGCGCATCGGAGAAATTCCATTTGCGCGTTTCCAATGTCAGGCTCCACGGACGATTGGAGGCGGCTTCGAGTTACAATCGTATCAACGATTCGTCTCTCGGCTCCATCCGCATTGTTCCTGATTATTTCTATGAATGTCTGCGGACGTCAATCTCATTTCCAAGCGGCGCGCCGATGTCACCAATGTTCTCGAAAGGCGAGTTCGGGTTCACAGAAGGCTCGTGCGCCTTCTGCCATCTCTAGAAAACACCCGAAATCAAGTTCGTGACATCAGGCCACGGTCCCGCTACCTTTGTGGCTCCGTTCGCTTCACCCCATCTTTTCACCGTTCACGATCGAGATATCTCTGGATTCGGAAGCGGCACATCGTGAAATTGTCGGAGACTCATAGTAGTGAAGTTGGATGCAAGGAAAGTCGAGGGGAAGAGAGAGTGGCGCTTTATCAGCGCCAAAAAGGGAACCGCTCGAGGTGCAAGTGCGAGGAAACTTCTCCAGAATCCCTACCTCCTTGAGACTGCGAATTCGAGATGCGCCGGAGCGAATGATGTTCGACCTTATTGGTTCATCCTCGACCCTGCTAAAGGACGGCTGCTGAATGAGTCATGCCGTCGAATATAAATGCATACCGACGTTAAGCGTCAGCTCAGCTGTGAATTGATCCCAATGCGGCTGGAAACTTTGGAAAGACTCGCCCAGGAGGAGCGTTTCATCCGAGAGATTTCCTTTCAAGTCTCTGCTCCACATGACGGGCACGCGAGCAAACATTGGGAATCAGCCTCGCCCTCGCTAACGCGTGACCTTGTGTAAATCCGTCGATGGTTCCCCTTTCTATCCGGTCGATTCTAGCGACAGATTCCTGCGGGATCTAGCTTGTCAAGTGTCGAATATATTTAGAGATCGGTGTTCGGTTGGCGACCAGTTTCCGAGTTGGCGCGAGAACGGTTCGTGACGGGAGCCTTCTTGACTCTCCGCCGTCGTGGAATTCCGCTCTTAGGGAAGAGAATCTAGTCTGGCAGACTAGAGATGACCGAGGATCCAACAGCTCAGTGAGAGGTGCTCCACGCAAGGCAAGGGCCTATACCCTTCCCACGCGAAGCCCGGAATTCCCTACTATTGGAGAAGGGTGCACCTGTGCATTATATGCTCTGAGTTCGCGAATTCGGGGAGCCTGGAAAACCCCGAAGTGCCGGAGGCAGTGAAGTGCTTGAATACATAAATTTCGCCCCCTCTCCTACCAAGAAATGCACGTAGAGATGCATCTCACCAAGTCGATGAACGGTGGCCGCTTAAGTAATGGTAAGCCGACCAAGACTACGAGGACTGCCTCGAGAGCACGGAATGATTCATGTTCAAAGGCGCCAGAAAACGCAAATCTCGAAAGGGAAACGCGCGAGAGCTCTCCCCTCGATACCGCTGACGATCGATATCATAGATCTCTTGATATGTTTTCGGGAACCGGTTCCATCAGCGGACGGGATCAGATCTGCGCGAAAGCCCCAACGGAGTTTTCCTCGCTCGATTCCTCGGTAAACTGTTGGGCCGCAATGATCGGGACGGCCTGGAGAACCAGCAAATTTTCTGTCACGTGAGTCGGCCGATCTGAGGAGCGATGGCGATACGGAACGGCGACGAAAAGAATCAATCTTTTCCGGGAGATCCCCGAGTGTTCGATGACAGAATTTCAGGGAAAAGTTGCTGGTTCGTGTCACTAGATTGAGTAAGTTCCGATCATCTCGCACCGCTCCCTCCGATACTCTCTCCTCCTCTCTCTGGATCAGCGAGAGCAGTAACTTAGTTACGAGCTAAACTCGCTTCTGGCTCAAAGACCATCCGCCAATCCACGGGAGATTTGAGACCCCTCGGCCAGTGTGAGCAATCCGTAACATCAGCAGCGATCCATTTGAGGAACTGGCCGAAAAATCATTTTCCCGAAAGTCAGCTGCTGGTCTCAAAGTTAGGTATTGGCATCCGATCCGCTAGTGGTCCGTTGTCGTGAGAAACTCAACCGCGTTCGAGATAGTACCTGGTGGCTGCGAACAAGTGAATCGTCGTTTCAACGGAAGTCGTCAGAAAACCGCAAAAAAAGTATTTCTATCCTTGATGCCCACCAGGACTCGGACCGATGGAAAACGAATGAGAAATACCTGAAATTACACACGACCACAGGAGCTCCATCGCCCGGGGATACTCCGAGGATGAGCGAAAAAAACTATCAGCATTGATGTCCTTGGCGTGTTCGCCACAAAAATCGACGATTTCCTCGCTGCACGACAGAATCCGTCGAGACCGTTTTTGCTTGCCTCCATAATAGCTTATGGATTCAAAGGCGGATTTCAGCTGACTCCCCCGTTTCCGCTATGAGTTAGCGAGAAATCAATGGTGCCAGACGGAGCCAGATGATGTCATGGTTTTTGATGCTGTCCCACAGCGCTTTGGAGCAGATAATACGGCATTGCGGAAAACAGCAGAGGAATACAATGACGCACCGATACCGAGAGAATCTTGAATCCCGCCTTCCTTCCCGACTTCTTTCCAGGATCTCGAAGGGATTCACACTGCGAATTTCGCGATGCGTAGGAATACTCCTAGAATGCTCCCGTGAATTACCGTCTACCGATGCGTGTGAGAGGCGGTTCTCCAGACTGAGTTTCGATGCGAACGATATGTAGCGACATGCATCCTCATTCATCAAGGCTAGCATTCCCGTCAGGAGTCCAACAACGCACTCACCCCCACCGAGGATTGATCAATTTCATAAGGGATTGGCGAATGTTGGGGTCCCCATGAGCTTCAGGGGAATATCAATGTTCCGGCCATCTGAGTCATTCTCGACGATATCCCGCCGAAGGGCTTTTACGATCAGGTTGCGAAGATCGGAAGCGAGATGCTTGGCGATTGGCGAGCTCTGAGGGGAGAAGCTCTAATGACTCGCGAATCGTTTTCTAACGATGAGATTAGGGTCGGATCTTCAGCGAGCTAATTCGCCGATGCTATCGCCTGTCCTCTCATAGGAAATTGCACCGTCGAATTGTTGGCAGCGACTCAGAAGCAAGTCCACAGCCAGCGTTAGCGGCTGCGAAGGAATTCTCTAATGACGGCGGAGCCAGATCGCAGTCGATTCTCTGAAATCCTTGGCTTACTCGGACCAGGCCTGAATGTACGAGCTCTAAAGTTATCTAGATTTGCTCCACTAAACCGGATGGGCAAACGGCCGCGGCTCTCTGGGAGATTCGCTGCTCTCTCCGTTCGCGGAGGCCGACGCGGGAAATCGTCGGAGTACAGATACTCTACATAGGCACCTCGCGATGAAGCTTCGCTTATGCGGATGATGATGATACCGGTAGCTTACTCGTTCTCAAGCGTTCGGAGAAGATTTCTGGCCCATGCGGAGCTCCCGTAGCCACGATACCAGAATTGTGTGAGTCAGGATAGAGGGTGAATGAACCATAATCATCGTGTTCTTAATCCGGTGGCTCCATCGGGCGGAGGACGCCTGGTTGGAGATCAAAGCAAATTAAAAGCGAGTAGGGCTCCTTCCGAAACTGCAGGAGTCGGAAATCGAGAACGGAAAGTGCCGCGCTCAGGAGGAAGGCATTGAGAGTATCATGACGGAGCACGGAAAATTGTTTGTAGATGGCAGACCTGAGCCCAAGATGACGGATCTCACATCGTAAATTGTTCCTTCCTGAAGTCCGACGGCGCGGGGGGAATATTACCGCGATCTGGACCCCCGAACGCTGTGAGCTGTGAGTCTTGAGCCATTGGTCATCTCGAAGCATCGGGGGAATATATGAATTCGGAAGCATCTCATCACCTCAGGGGCATCTTCAGGAGTTCTTTGTTGAACTTGGAATACGTTTCCCGGATGTGCCGTGTTATCTTCAGCTCGACTCATTCCACTTCCAGGCCCTACCGAGTCTGATCGGTGCTACTCATCCACTAAATAATTAAATTCCTTCTCGAGGAGTGCTCGATTTGTGCACAAGATCATCGGGGACCCCCGAATGCTACCACGGAATCATGATGAGTCATGACTACATCTTGTCTGCCCCTCAGGTTAGCTCTCATCAGAACAGGGCGCTGACACCCTTGGAACGTGGCGTCTGGCATGAGGACGAGCAGCTGGTCTGAGCCGGCCAATGTTTTGCGATGGCAACGTGTCTTTTCCGCGAAAATTTTCGGATCGGTTTTCAATGGAAAGGGATAGGTCCCGAGGATCGCCTCTCGAGCATGCACTATCCTTCGTCGAAATGAACATTCCCGAGCTAGAGACTGAAACTGCCACGTCGAGGAGACGAATATCTCTCATTCTCTTTTGCCGAATAAACAATCAAGTTCGGGTGCGTCAACTCGACGGTACGACGTGGCCTCTCCCCTCTGATGAAGAATTTTCCATAAACAAACTCCGAGACCCGATTTTTGATCTACCGCTGTCTGTGTTCGAGCGCGGACAGGCTCTGAGTCGACCCGAGCAGACTCTCCTTTCATATCGCTGCTCCTCTCCATCCTAGACCGTTGAGAAACATCGATTCCGGAGAGGATCCTCCAGAGAGCACGATCAAAGAGTACAGTGCCCTTCGTGCTCCCAAGTCTATCAAAAGTTCCCAGATGCGATACTGTTACTGACAATCTTCGTTGCCACCGAGCTGTCTATGCGGAGCGACGTCGGCTATCGTGAAAGACACAATCCACGGAACTTTAAGCCTCCCGGAATTGGTGGTTACAGCGGTCTTTTATCAGTGTTGTACGTCGCGACGGCATAACCCACGGCCACGACTGAGAATGAGTTCAATTCACAGATTACCGCCGGCTTCCCAGTGGCTCTCCTCTCTCCTGGTTGCATATAGCGCTCCACGCTCTCGTTGTTCGCCTTTTGGGTCTCGCGGATGTCACGAGTTTTGCTCGGAGTTCTTTGCCGTCCATTGGCAGTACCGAGTGTACTCCGAGTTGCGCCCGAATCGGAATCGTATCATCGAGGTGCCTGTTCTCATCTGGCGCATCGTTGTAGGAAACGACCTCTGTCGTTGGAGCAGTTCCGGGGTAGTGATCGACTTGGCGCGAGTATTCAAAGCTCAGCCCCTTTCCACTTCAAGCCTCGCGCTCCCAGGACCCCTCGGTGAGGCCCGGTCAGCTGATTCATAAAGTTATGGCTGGTTCGAAGGATTCTGTATACACACCTCTGAACACTGCTTTCGGCGAAACCGGTGAGACTCTCGAGAATCATTCCTGGCTTGTCCATTAGCCGTGATCGAGGAACTATGGGGTAACAGAAATCAGCGAGCCGTGAAGTCCCGATCAGCTGATCGAGAGGAGCCGAATGCAGAGTTCACCCGGCACGCTAGGGATCAAGCTCCGGAAGTTTCGATGGCTCAGCTGTTCGGTATAAGGCCCGGCGTCCAGCTTCGCGAAGTAGTCGATTAGGTTACGCATAACAGGGACATCCCATGCGGATACGAGAGACCGAAGACTCGGTATCCACGGACGTCCGAGAGTCAAGGGCGATTTTTATGTCAGCATACGGTTTGAGTCGTCGTTCCATGTCATCCGTCTGTAAGGGGGACGGATAATGAATCGCGAATTGAATCTCACAATGGATACGATTGATATTGAATTAGATACGATCTACATTCCCGTCCGGAACTCTTCTCGGCAGCGCGCGTATCGAATCAGAGATGATTAGCGTATACTGGATGTCGAAATGAATGTCAAGGAAGACGGTGAATCTCAGTCCCCATTTCGATCCGACCCCTGTACTCTATCCTCATCAACCGGAAAAAGCTCGGAATATTCCCGCTTCAGAGCCTCGGCAAGCATCCAGCCCGTCAACTGCTTCCGGGCCGCGCCTCGTTCTCACTCCAGCATCGTAGAATCGCAAGAGCCCCTAAATGGAATCATTTGACCGACAGGGTTCCGCTCATTTATTGGGTACCTCTTAGATTCCTCTCTCAATATATAGATATGTGAACACCTTCAACTTTGAAATCAATTGTTTCTTCCCATGCTGCTACACGATATTTCTGTGTGTGTAATTTATTATCACATCTCATGCGGTCTGAACCTCTTCTCTCGTGCCAGCTCCGGACTCGAGCACAACGCTTGGAACCACAAAGTGTGACACTGGAGACTCGGGGACTGCGAACTCATTCGATCGAAGTCAATCTCCCCGCTCCTACTGCGGATGACGTTTCCCTCAAATCTGACCCTTCATAATACCTAACGAATCGAGGCCTAGAGTCGTCGACAAGTTTTCTACGGAGGCGCACAGACTTACTTTCGACGTTCCTTATCGTATCTAACAATCTCACTTACACTTCCTTTGCAGAAGATGCAAACGGAAATGAGGCTTTCAATGGATACATCGATATCGATACAAGTGAAGGCAACGAACTAGGCTGCTGCTCGAAGCAAATCTTGAGATGTACCGATCCTAGGAGGTGAGAGAATGATGTCCCTCCGTGCTCAATTACTCTATACGTATGCAGTTGGGAGAGGCGATTATCCTTCGTCGATCGCGCGACTTCGAACGAGGTCTTCGGAACACGATCCGCGGGCCTGCGGGGTCCGATTTCCACTTTCTGTTGAGACCCATTACTTATTGCTAATGATAAATCTTACGTGGAACGCCGACTCGGAATTCCCTCTTGGTTTCTCCCTGCTAATGTTCGCTTCCAACGCTCCTCTCCCACTGGAAGAGGAATCCACAACGAGGAACAATGAAACGTGTTCCGTGTTCGAGAAGCCCGCATATGTTTCGCGCTGTTCTAAGCGTAGTTCTTGAGGGTATCGACGGAGACTGCGACGCTTTTGATCTCTCCTTGAATTGTGTAAGATCCTGGGAATCCGGCACGGCGTCAGTCGGAGAGATACACAGACATCAGACGCCTATCATTCTTCAGCGTTCTTCTCATGACGGGTCGCTGGTGGTCCCCGAGACGAGAAAGATGAGAACAATCGGCCAGATCTTCCATGGGGAGCACGCATCAGGAATATCCAGCAGCCGTATGGGTTCAAACATTGGTTTGAGCCTCTAAGAAAAGAACGAAACAACATGATAAGGAGGAGTTCGCACTAGGGAAGGGGATTACTCGAAGAGAAACTCATTGAATAGAATGGGCTTATTCCTTCAGATGGCTGGAGCTCCTCCCGATCATCACCTGGCTACCCAAGTACAGCTTCCAGGATCTCTATGGAGACACGGTGGCTGGTATCACAGTGGCTCTGACCGTGATCCCGCAAGGGCTTGCTCTTGCCGGCGTGGCTCAACTGCCGCCTCAATATGGACTGTACACAGCCTTCATGGGTAGCTTCGTGTACATATTCGTCGGATCGGCGAAAGACCTCACAATTGGACCAACCGCCATAATGTGCATAATGACTAGTCAATACACGAAATTCGGTGGACCGACGTACGCCGTGCTCCTCGCACTATTGTCTGGAGTCGTGCAGCTTTTACTGGGCAAGTACGATTGCACCGACGATTCTCTCACAGCTATGGGTCTCGCTCCGAATAATTTTGTTGGCCAGAGCGATACATAGGACCGAGGGAATGAGCCCCGTGCTGTCGATAGTTTCCATCGAATGAGACCGTTCGTTGAATGGCCATCTCCGTCCAACAGGTTTGTTGAATCTAGGATTTATCATCGACTTTATCTCGGGCTCTGTGATCTCAGCTTTTACATCTGCCGGCGCATTGACAATCGCATCAACACAACTGAAGGGTCTGACCGGAATCCCGATCAATTCGGAGCATTTGATCGACGTCCTCCGACAACTTGTCGCCAACTCCTACAAAATAAAGTCAGTTGACGCCTGATTGATATCGAGATACCCCTCGACTGGTATGACTTGCGCTGCTTCCCTTGCCGTCTACAAATAACTTTGCTTCTTTTCCGTCCCAGATGGAACGATACAATCCTCGGGACGATCTGCATTGTTGTTCTGCTGGCTCTTCGGTACTTCCGAAATCGTCGGGTAAACGTGGATACGTCCCGCCTCCCAAAGTTCCTGTCGAAAGTTGTCAATACAGTCTGGTTCACGGTTGTGACCGCCAGGAACGTGATCGTGGTCTTGATATGCGGCGGATTGGCCGCTGTCCTGGACGCCAGGGGTCGGAGACCTTTCGCTCTGACTGATGATGTCAAGGGTGGTTTGCCTCCTCTACGGCTTCCGGACTTTACCTTCACGTACAACGATACGAAAACGAACTCAACGACAACATTGACATTTCCCGAAATCGTGGCCGTAAGTGTCGGAATCGTCGGGTTCCGCAGAAGATCTCGTTGGTATGGACAGCGGCTGGCGCGGTGACGTCTCCCAGGGACTGCCGCGTTGAGAAGGATGTTGCGAAACGTTGACCTCTTTCAGGATCTGAACATGGGTATCGTCGTGATTGCGCTTCTATCGATCCTCGAATCCATCGCAATCGCGAAAGCTTTCTGTAAGTTGCATACTTGACGCTATCGATCGCTTCTTGGCTAGTGTGAGAGAAGAGCCCACCTAACTTCGCACCTGACATCTCCGCAGCAAAAGGAAAACGTTTGAACGCAACACAGGAAATGGTGGCTCTCGGATGCTGTAACATTGCGGGATCGTTCGTTTCGGCCTTTCCGGCTACGGGGAGTTTCTCGCGGAGTGCAATCAACAACAGTTCGGGTGTTCGGACGCCCATGGGCGGTCTGTTCACAGGCTTAGTCGTTTTGAGCGCGTTGGCTTTCTTTTCGCCCTACTTTAAGTTTATACCGAAGGCGACTTTGGCCGCGATCATCATCACCTCCGTAATATTCATGATTCACTACGAAGACGTCGGCATCATCTGGAGAACCAGCCGTGAGCATCGATGGATTATTATCGAGAGAATCAGGACGTCGGACCTTTTCTAGTCGATTCGGGCGCGGCGTTGCGATTCATTCTTCGTTCCAGGTATCGATATGGCGCCGTACTTGTTCACGTTTTTCGGCTCGTTCATATTCGGTCTGGAATATGGTATCATGATGGGGGTTGTCGTGGCCGTTATCCTTTTGCTTCATCATAGCGCGCGACCAAATGTTACGGTCTCAACGGTCAAGGTCAGTAGAAAGAGCTCGTCCTGCGGAAGCGAGCCCGAGAGCGCGCGGCGGGGACCAGCATTGGTGCGGAAATTAGTCGAACCGAGCTGAATAGTTGTTTCCTTTTCACAGACCGAGAACTCGAGCTACGTTTCTTGCCGAATAGACCGAACTGTGTTGTTTCCTTCAGCGCTCTACGTAACAGGGAAAATTGGCCGAAAAATCCGCGAAGAAGTCAGTCGAATCGGACAGGAGACCACGTTGGTGCTTGTGGACGGATCTCGCTTATCGCGCGTGGATTACACCACTTGCATGGTGAGTTCTCCTTTCCTTTTAAATCATACGATTCCAGGCGTGCAGCTTGTGGTAGATCTCGCGATTGCCCGCCGCCGATAAGGAGGAATTCAAAATTTCCCGCGTCTCGGACTATCCCTGGCACTGCCGGCGCAGCGCTGGCGGCATTCCGAACAGAATCAACTCGGCCAGCAGTGGCGGCAGCAACTGTTCCGATGGGAGCGCTATCGAGCTGAAGTGGGATTCGGAAGTCAGAAGATTTCGGTTACTTCGGACGGAGAGCCCGGACTTCGTCGACCCGTGGGTCGGTTCGTGTCCCGAGGATGGCATCCGCGGAACCGGAGAGCTCGGTTCTCTCGCGGATCCGTACGAAGAAAAAGAGTATCGTTCAGAAGCTTCAGAATCGGCAGCTGTTCGGACGACTGACTGCGGGACCACGCGAAGTGCCTCCGAGGATCTACCACACGATTCCCCGCCGCCTGGTTTTCAAACTGAGTTCCTGTATCCCACAACATTTGCTGCCGAATGGACATGTTTTCCTGGGATTCCTCCGTGACGGCTACCATGTCGTTTCGTACACGAAAACAGAGGAGTATCGAAACGACGTAATGTTTCGCTACCGGTACTGCCTACAGTTCTGGAGGTTCACTCCGAAGCATCGACTGGAACTGCGGCGCCAAATCGAGTTGTTTTCGGTGGCCTCCTCGATTGTCATCACAATATCTCAATGGTCGGTGGATGATAGCAAAGTTATCGCGATTGGTCATCCGCTGGATTTCCTCTACGAGCCGAACCAGCAGTGTATGGTATTCGTGTCAATCGTGGCCGTGCCGCCTCTCAAACCGTGCTCGGAATGTTCGACTCGGAAGTCTGAGTGCCTCGAACACGGCTTCATTTTCCAAACAATCTGCTGTTTGAACGCTTTCTCTGTGACCGATCCGAAAATCATGGCAGCGGTCGATAACCATGTACTCATCAACACAACCTCGACTCTCGTCTGTCACGAGCTGCGAATCGGTCGGCTCACGAGGGAAAAGCGTGAACTCTCGGTGCTGTCCGAAGGACAGTCGTCAATTCCTGTACAGATCGTTCCTCTTGACGCACAAATTCCAAAGCCAAATTCGTTCATCAATAACCTCCTCTGCGGAGAGGTCGGAGAGGATGCAGCCGACTGTGATCAGCCAGCAAGCGAAGTTATCCCGGCGTTCCGAATATCGGAGTCGATAGACAAAGCCGAGAACTGGGTTTTCTCTCAGCCGATGTCACGACGCATAAAGTCTTATTTCTGCGAGAATATCCATTCCAAGGAACGGAGCAATCTTTCTCTTTACAACGGCTCCAAGAACAGGCCTCTGTTCCTGCATTGGCAGCTGCCCGAAGCGGCTGATGAATACATTGAAACGACCGAGACGCATCTAGAGTTCGATTACTGCTGCGGCTTCATCGCGGGCTGCTTCTGCAACGAGAAGCGGATATATCTGAGGAGTATCGTGAACTACGACGGGAAAATTCTCGATTTCTGTCCATATTCTCGAATCATCACCATTTCGTTGTGCATTCAAATCGATTCTACGACAACGATACCATCCCTGGAAGCGGTGACGGATCCTTCTGCCCGTGTAGGCTACGAATTGTTCGTTGTTCTTCTGTGGTCAGTCGCGACAGACGATCTCAAGATACGCTATCTTCAGTACAAGCAAGCCCCCGTAGACTTGAGAGATAAAATATCCGACGAGTGTCCGGAAAGCTTCAAACAGTTTTACAAAGAGCTCTTCCATCTTCGTGCCAAAAAGCTTGGTCGCGCCCCCTATGATCTCAATGTTCTCGGACACTGCTCCGATAATGAGGAACGCTCTGCGCACTGCATCGCGAATCGAGAAAAAACATTCTGCCTGACATTGTGATTGGAACTCGTCTCATGCGTAGTTATCCCGCCGAGATTACAAATGTTTCTACTGATAGTTATTGCTCTTCCTGACGGCTTGTTTTCGGAATGAATCTCATTGTACATACGATCTATTAGTAGGCTAGGTATGAGAGGATGATCTCCTGAATGGGAGAGAAATGTCTGGATAAATCTGGTCGGAAGACACTGTAAGAAAGCTGCGTATTCACTGTTCTCTATGCATCGAGCTCAAGTTTTCTAGTCACTGAGAAATCATGCGACGATCTCTGATGCCTAGCATCCGGATATTAAACGTTGCTGATGATTCGCAGGCTTTCAAGAATCTGTGTGATGAACTCGCCAAAGACAAATCTATCGTAGCCTTTTCGGGACTTCCGAGAGACGTTCGCGAAGCTCTCGCTGCTGCTTTAGGGGACATGTTCAAATGTCTCTCTTCGCCCAAGGAATGCGACGACTTCATTGGTGAGTACAGCCTGGTCAGAATTTCTGAGAATTCTCCGAAGGAAGCGATACATACTAAGTCGTAGAAATACATCCAAGTACGCTGAACATCAGCCCACACATGATGTCTGACCTATCACCGGATTCTTTCAGCCGGCTTAGGATCTACCCAAATCAACATCCCGGAAAGCTTATGATGACGACAGTCGGGTTCCGTTGTAACAAGATACCTACATTCTATTGTAGATTTCAACAAGCGCAAACACGGGATCTTTCTCTGCGTGCTTAGTGACAAACACGTACATCTAAATAAGTCCGCTGATATAGTTTGGAGAGGCTCATTATTTTTGTCACATGATCAAGAATCCTATTATATATTGTACATAAGCTTATGGTGAACGCCGTCATGATATCTTACACAATTAAAGCGGAAACTCTCAATTTCTTATTGATGAGGGTGTGTTTATCTTCGATCATAGATGAAGAGGTCCGTCTCCCCCAACTGATTACTTACCAATTGAGGAGGAAGTTCGTAGCAGCATCCGTGCGAAAGTTCGCCGTGTGTCTGGGCCCCATACGGAGGTTTACCTATCGTTCCAAGTTTCCGCTTCTGACTGCGATTGGAACCATTCTAAAGCAATTCCTAGGGAGAGTCTCGTCGTGGATGGGGAAGCTCAGATTCCGGTAGAAAGGTGCAATGGCGTAAGCTAAGTATGCAGCTGCCCCACGGATAATCTCCGGGACTAGGATATTGAACTTCGGGAGCAATCTGTGGGCTGCCAATGATTCCGAGGACGAGCTCACTGGAGCAAAATATACCCTCTACCTCCTTAATACTCGACAGAGAAGTTCGCAGCGCAATCGCTGCAACACTCGGGGAGAAGTCCGAATGCGAAGCTTATTCAGTCCGAAGAACTCGACGAGTCTCGATATGAGTAAAATCCGGTCGTTTATTATTTTTGTACTGTATTCGAGAGCGACATTGAGAGCACCCCTAGCCAGCGTCAAATGTCTGAGGCGTTATCGAACTCCACGAGCCGGATTGGAATCTACTCAATTCAACGTACCAGCATATTTATGATATCGGCAGCCGGTTTCTGATGTGACAATAAATGAACCCTAAAACTCCGACTGACAATGAGAGGAACCTTCCGCATGGAGAAATTTCCGTGTGAAGAACCTCAATGAGCGTAGATGCGTTTTTCTCCAGACCGGATCCCTATCACAGATGCTAATCCTGTCCGGCAGCATATTGTCGTGTGCTTTTCGGACTTCAACACGTCGAGCGAAAATTAGGTCTAAATAACGAATTTCAGAATTCCAGATATTCTTTCCTCCGTAGTAGTCGGGGTTAAAGGGGGGAGATTTCCACAAGCACATACACGAGTTCTTTCTCCGCATATGTGGATATACAGATGTATTGGTAGATATACATTATTATATTATCGTCATCGATGGAGGTTCATAATTATTATCACATTATGATGGATCATGCATTGTACATAAACTTAGCGGTGTCCCGGAGATATTCCACGATGAGCACCGATTTTCTCATCTCGTGATAAATAAAGAAATGCTCGCTTCCCCTCCACAGAGGAGAGTGCTCTCTCGCTTCGATGATCGTGAGTTATCGAATTTCGCCCTTGACCGATTACAGCCAAGAGGACCGATCAGTCTGGCGACAATGATTGATTTGTAGACGAGTGGTCTATCGAGTCAATAGCGACTGTCATTCCATGATTATAAATATCAGTGCGAAGGAAAGCCCACCATTATTGCACTAGTAACCAGTATAATGAAAGCTCCCTGAATGCCCGCCCTGCGCTCCGAGGGGCTGGCAGAATTGAATCGCGCACCCCCTGTAAATTGTCTTCTACTAGATGCTCAAATAAATGTGGGCGTTTGAACGCGTCCGCCTAGACTCAATATCCATGATCAAATCTCGATGCGCAGGAATACGTTCCCTGGCACAATATACGCGGTATGGAAGCTCCAAAGTTCGTGACGAGAGCTCAGTTCCGGAAACGGTGGTCACGAGCCTCGATCCGGAGCCTCGCTTGGTCCGACCATGAGGAAAAAGCGACCTAAGATTTGAAAAATTCGTTGAGAACACTACTTGAAGAGTGTCCTAAGGTAGCTGCGTGCCGACCCGGTTGGTCCGAAACGATAAGGGCTCCTCGGTTCTCTCCTCCGACATTCCTGAGCTGCGTTGAGGGAGCTATATGCGCTTACATCAGCGAGACCGCATTAGAGATAACTCGATAAGAACCGTTGCGGAAGCCCCGCCCATAGGTCCGGAAAGCATCTTTTTAGTCAAGTTGATGCGTTGATGCGTGGAAGAATAAACTCTCTACATTCGACTGTGCCTCGACTCGGTCGTTGAGCCTCCCTCGACGGTGGGCCGGTGACTAACAACACAACTCCGACCAACTGCATTTGGTGAGGGGTTTGAATCGTAGATGCTCCTCTATAAATTGGCAGGGACAACGTGCCATCGCGCAGTGTCTTGGGGGCGCTGGAGGCGCCGGCTCGGAAAATCCGTCCGGATGTACGGGAACGCTCAAGTCCAATCGCTTGCGTACGAATTCCTTGACCCAGCGTTGACTGTATCGCAGGAAGAGCTTCTCCGCGGTTTTCTGGGAAAATATGGTTTTTGAGAACCAGTGCACCGTCGCTGAACCGAATGGCGCGTATAACGATCGTGGAATACGCTTCAGCGATTCAAACCGCTTTATCTAATTTTAATCATCATGATATCACGGGTGGGGATGCACTCACTTCTGTTCGGGTAACGCGTTCCGTGGCGGAGCCTCTCGTGATAATAATATCATCGTGATCAAGATCCATCCTCGATCGTACTATAGGATTATCCATCGGCTGATTTATCGAATCGGCCTTCTCTTGGTTCTCGAGCATCGAGGCTAAATATTTCTAGGATCAGGGAGAGATATATATGTAGTCAGATCGATCCGGAGAGGGCCTAGTAGCGGTCCTGATCTCACTCATTCGATAATATTCAAGCGATGGATATGGGTTTCGGATGGAGCAAGAGTGCCGCTCAGTCAATAGGTCCCGAGTACCGCGTTACTTGACTTACGAGACAAGGTTCCGTTTCGAAATTGATGAATATGAGATGAACTTTGTGGCACGATAGCTTCCCGCGATCATCAAGACCGAGTATGATGTTATGCTTGAGGAGTATGGTGTTCACATGAGCCATACATCTCTCTAATAAGTGATAGAGCTAACGGATGACATAGCGATTAGTGTTGTATCAGGCATGAGCCGCACTATCATGCGTAATTTAGACGGTATATAACTTCAGAGAGCCCATATAGTCCGGAGATGATACATATATAGAGATGATGATACGTATATAGAGATGATACATATAAAGAGACGATACATGCCTTGAATTTGAGCCACATGCAAACGAAGATGCCTGTTGCGTTCACAACGAGCCAGAGCACTCCGCCCGCGAATAGAGCCAAGCCCTTCGTGCCTGAAAATTGAAGCTGGTGTCAGTCACAGAGACTACAGTTAGAGACTCGGATGGCCCCGAAAACTCAAGCTAGCTTTCTCCCTCGTCTTTGCTTCGCTCGCTTTCCAGTGTCGATAAGATTTCCCGTCTCTGATTGTGAGCGGGCTCCCGACTCCCAATCTACTAACCAGTGAAAAGAAGACTGATCAGAATGACAAAGCCCAGCATCATCCACAAGAGAAGAATCCGTTTGTAGAACACATTATACAAGGTAAACCTCAAGTCGTTTGTCAGAACTTGGAGTGCGAGAACATAATCTTCTACGGTGATCTGTGGAGAAAAGAAACTTAAGCTCGTGGACGATCTGGGGACTGATTCGCCTTCTTCATAGGCTAAGCCCGAACAGCTTCACAATAAGAGATGAAGGGCTCACGGTTAGACTCGTATCCATGATTTCTTCGGGGACCAAGTTTGGCTGAAATTTGGCGCGCGTCACCCAGGCACAACTCTTATTCGTCGGCAGGACCGTACATATGACATCACCGTTGACTGAAACATAGCAGGATTTATTTTTCTCTAATCGATAAAAAGTGTGCGGACGCGTCCACGGGAGGGAAACGTGAGTGAAGCTCCGAGCTCAACTAACCGAGCTTATCCTCCGCATCTTCTTTACTCTTCAATGCGGAAAGTCCGATATTGTAAGGCGAAGACATCGGTGGAGCCTGGATGACGGGACTTCGAGGAGGAGATGGTCTGAGAACCGCTGGATCGATCCGAATGGCTGCGGAATCAATCGAACAAAGAGTTACAAACCATCATTGTCTCCGCCTTGGCGATCGAACGTCCAAGCGTGAAGAGTTCTCAGCTAAGAACGAACGACCCGCTATATTCGCATCCGTCTCGATATCTCGCGTCGTCGGGTCTTTGATGCGGCTGAAGAGGGGAAGCGGGGAAAGAGTGCTCTCGTGAAGATCAACTTACCCGATTGAGCAACCCGGTCTTTGGCTTTTTTGTCGCCTGTCTCCTTGACTGCAATAACCTCCATCAGGGTAGGTTGGATTGTCGCCGCCTCCTTGTCTTCACCTCCATCGAACTTGACCCATCTCGAGGTTTCGTTCCCATTTGTGGACTTTTCCGGCGATGTGGGTTTCCTATTCGGGTCCTCGATGTCAACCGGACCGGCAGTGCCAGACTCAGACATCATCTGGGGGTGGGGAAGGGGGAATATTGATCGTCAATGAAATCTATATTCGCACCCGTCATCCAAGGTCGTGCTCCTGCCTGCTTGGATGACAAACCCTGGGCACTAGCGTGTGAGATCAGCATACATCCCAATCAGATGCAGAACAGATTCTTATGACTGGAATAATGAGTCACACCGACTGGCGAAGATTCTGAGTCGCTTGATTTCGTGGCCTCGCCCAGCGTTCTCTGAATCATCCCTCTACTGGCAGGCGAGTTTGTGCCAAATGTAGAGGCAGGCTATCAGAAGTACAGGAGGAAAACAACACATAGCGTGTTCATGGAACGAATCTCAATCAGAAAAATTCCGAGTCGATGATTCGATCTCTGAAATTTACACTGAGAGCGAGCAACCTCCGCCGTCTTGTCTTCATGGCTTACAGGAAAATTCTGTCCTGCGATTCGATCATGAACCACATGCTTTGGATCGGCTGGAAGCTTTACGAAGATGTCCCTCTGAAGCGGATCATGGATGGAACTCCGACCCGACCTCTCTTAACCTCCGGTCGCAATTTCCGGAGAGAAGGAAAATCTCTGGCAACTCCCATGCTTCCTATTGGAAAGGTGGAATTTTTCATTCGAAATCGTCCGCAACGAAAACATTTCGTGGCGACTCTCACTCCGCCGCGTAGAGCGGCTGCTCGACCGTCCGACGGGCTAAGTAGCGGGCTCCTTCCGGAGTTGAGCGAGCATAGCACGAGAAAAGCGATTCTACTGTCCTATGCTGCGCTTACGCATTCGCTTCATGCGACCGCATGTTCCGAGATATCACAGGAAACATCAACAGACCTTGTTTATCAGGACGGCTTTTCTCGCACGGTGCGCGGATCTCCTCTCAGTGACCGGGGACTCCGCGAGCTCGATGAGCACCCCGCAAGGGTAGTCACGAGCGCGGACCCCTCCCACTGCGGGCGCCGGAAGGGAAAACAACGGATTTACTCGCAGCACTAACCTTGGGCTCAGCTTTCGCTGGCGACTCCGCGCAAGTCTGCTCTGCGAAAAATTTCCTCAGAAGTATCCACTATCGAGGAAATCTCTTCTCTTCCATCGATTTCGTCGGAAAGGATCCACCTCGCGGAACAGTGAGGAATTCTCCATCTATGCGCACAGCAGCGGATCGATATCACTCTCAAAACAAACACTTCCGAAACGCAAGCCGACCATGGGGAAGGATGTTCTGCAAGAATTCTCCGAACAGATGCGATCGAGTGACCTTTGATTGCCGATTCCGATTCAATAACGCACTCGGTAACGTAAAATACGCAAGCCGCACTCGCGGTGTTCTCGTGACCGGTCACGAGGCGGCGCAAGAGCAGAGGTTTTTGCTGAATTCAATTATTCGACTTTCAGAAGACGCAGGTTTTTCGGAACTCCATCAACTGCGAATGCGCCATCGACGGTCAGCTGGTGTCACCCACTCAGTCAGCTCAGAACCCAGAAGAGAAAAATTCTGCCCCAAACCAAACAGAGCGCCGGAAGTTTTCAGTGCGGTCACGGGGACTATCTGCTCTGCTGAATCACGGATTAATTTCAAAAGGCTCACCTTTAGTGCTCATGAATCGCCGACCGGAGCCGAATGCAGAGAACAAGGAACATCGACCGAGTCCGATTCGAGCATGTCCTAGGATCCCGAGTGGATTCACATACTCGCTCGATCAACTGTCCGATTCTCCACTCCTTCGACGGCACTTCCAGCTACGAGTTACGCACAACCGTCGAGAGGTGCCGTCGCTCCCGACGTCTGCCCGACAGTTGATCTGGGAGCAAGCCCTCGGGAGCAGAACGTTCGAACAAAGAGGAGGCCACCTTTACGACTGCAACATCGTCACCCGCTGCCACCATAAATGAATTATGGACCACTAAGAGGTCGAAAACTCGACAAACGGGAGCGTCGAATCCCACCGCGACCACTGCCTGTGCCACACTACGGGCAGTGAATACCTGCCTCCGAGCGGTGAATGGAACAGCGGCAGCGGCGACGACGCGCTGAAGACCCACACATGTCCGAAAACTTTCTGCTGTGTCGCTCGATGGCTTGCCAGTCGTCGGTGAACCCTGTGTCTCCAGCAACGGTGGTCATCGCCTTGCGAGCCGCGGTCGACCGTTTTCCCGATAGGAACACACCGGTATCCTCACAGGAGAGATTTCATCGATTGGATATTCAGTCGAAGTTTCTCTTTTAAGGGCAGTGAGGACTTTTCTTGAGAAGTACTAAAGATTGCTTTCGACCTCAGTCTGTGTCTATCGTGAGGGATCGACGCTAGAGTACGAAATGACTCGTCGTGATGGAACAGAGTTAGAGTTCCGGAGAATCTGCACACGTTCTCCGTTCAGTGAAACACCGACTCAGAGTTTCCTCCGATACGGCCAGACGTTAGGCTCGGAAACCCTCGAAAGAAAGAGTCTTCGGCTCCGGCACTGTCTTCGGAGCAGATCGAGGAACTTCTTGCTCTGAGTGGCTCGATCCCTGATTCTAATAGATATTTAGGAGAAATTAAGGAACAGCGCATCGTGAAACTTTTTTTTATTACCCCAATGGTGGAGCTTGATGACAAATGATGTTCTTGGCCATCATCAATTCTAGACGGTCTCGAGCACTGGGGGCTCATAATCGTCGGGGCGGTCGACAGCCATACCGTCGGCGGTCTTGGTTCCAGAGGATCCCTTCGAGTCGCCGTGCAGCTCAAGGAGCTTGCTCATGTCGAACTTGGGCTTCTTGAGCACCTTGACCTTCCTGATGAGCACGTCATGGAGCGGGAAGATTGCATTACAGACCTTCTCGATGTCTTTGCCGATCGATTCGGGGATCAGTTTGCTGACGACGTCCTTCAGGTCGCAGGACGATACCTCGCGCTGGATGATCTCGACCATCTTGCGACGGATGGCACGGACCTGGGCGTGTTGGGCGTAGCAAGTTTTCTTCACTTGGCTCTGGGTCTTCTTGGTGAAGCCAATGCAGAACAGTCGAAGAACGAAGCCGTCGGTCGTGCGTACGTCCACCTGAGCCTCGATCAGGGTCTGCCATTTCTTGACCATGGATCGGAGCTTGTCAGTTGTCAAGTCCATTCCGTGGAAGTTGGTGAGGCAATGACGGCCCTGCACTTCTTCGCAAACAAGCCTGGAAGAAGGGAAGCAGTCCTGCCGTCAGAGAGGAGCTAATACAGAGTCAGCCTACACGACTAACGGTCGAGATTCCTGAACGCGCAGGGAAAAATCCGTACAGCGTAAGAGATGCCGAGGGGGCACAGACTCCGCCATCGCGATGGCCGGGAACTCACTTGAACTTCCTGAAAGCATCCTCGTTGTTGTTCAAGTCAGCCTGGGAAACTTCATACACACGTCCTTTGAGGCCATCGGAGGCGATTTTGGTTCCCTGTGTACGGTTAACGAGGGTCTTCCCAACGTTGCGGATTTGGAACATTGATGGAGCCTTGACATCGTACCAATCTTTACGAGTGAAGGGGTCAACACTGGAACGAGGAATGGGTAAACATTAGGAACTCGGTGAACTACGCGACGAATTCGGTTTCGTGTTTTCACAGGGAGTAGATCCGGCGAAATAGTGTCGGCGGCCGTCTGTCCACGTTTTACTCGCCGCATTCGAATATATTCGAATACATGGCGCTCACGAACGAACACTGGAGCTAATATCGCTCTTCCTCACTGGCGGAAGCCGAGAACAACTAGCCACACCGAACCGACAAGCCATGGCTTGGAAATCATCAGAGAGCCCCATTTCTCATCTCACATGCGACAGAAACGAGCGGGCTGATGTTCGATTTCATCCAATGAAATCATGGTTCCGCCGGGTTTCCCTGACGCGGACTCCGGTCGCATATGTCAGTCCAAATATCCAAGCGGGGACTGACGCGAATATCAGTCACTTACATCTTCTTTTTGAGGCCCTTTTTGCCTCCTTTCGAAAGTCCCTTGTTCTTTCCGACCGCCATGTTGCAACTCACACGGGAAAAGACCGGAACGAGGCGCGGATGTTTGGGTGAAGCCTCGATTCCGAAACCACCCGCCTCTGTTTGGTTTCGGTACTGTGATCGAACCGATTTTTCCGGAGAGTGGGGGCGGACTCAATCGACTCCAGTCGATCACGATCAGCCGGGAATCGAATAGGGTCATCGGGGCGACAGCGCATTCCTTGCATCATTTCTCGCTTGTACTTTCTCGGGGACTGGTTTGCGCGCCAATTTTCGAACGGGCTAACTCGATCCGGGAAAACATTGGTTTCCAGCTTTCCAACAGCAATCCCGAAATCCTCCGATAACCAGGTCTTGGGATACTTCGATTGGCGCATCGGACCTCGTTCTCATGGGATTCCGGAGAGGATTTTGCGACAGATACGTCTCAGCAACTCGGCAGTGCTGCGGGTACGCCAAGCTCCCAGCTGATTTCTCAGAGCAACCAGACTACCACAGCAAACAGAATGCCTCCGTGTTGGTGGTCGCTGTTCGTTTCCCGTGGCGTGTAATGAAGCCAAATTGTCAAGCCCAATGACTGAGTGAGTATTTAGTGCAATCGCGTTACAGTTCCTTGGACGTTCCCCTATCGGTAGAGTTTTGCTTCCCTCCTTTAGGTTGAGCGCTCCAAATTACTCATGCAAGCGCAGTGGGGGATCCTCGCATTCGAACGAACGCGGAACTTTGGGAAGCCGTAATTGATTCCGCCGCGCGAGATCACTCACACGCTCGTGAAGGGAAGAATCCAATTCTGGCCCAGATGTGCGGTTCCATGCGGCTCCTCGAGACTCTCGGGATTTGCGTGAAGTTGATCCCTACGGGCGTCTCGATGGGATGTATGAGCTACGACGAGAAGCCCTCTCGTTTGGACTTTTTTCGAATTCCTCAATGAGTCCAAGTGGGGACTATCGATTGCCGGAGAATGTAGCTAGCATAGCTGACGCTAGAGCTCTCGAAGAGCATTTAGAGGTGCATATCTGAGAGAGCCTATTCGTTCCCGTGGTCAGTTTGGTTCCCCCCGGATCGATCTCGACATCGCGATTCAGGAACATGACTTCTAACACTGTTGACATTCGGCGCTGCGAAGCCTTCCGACGATGTTCCAAGATAAGAGATCCATCGGACGCTCACAAAACACGGGAGGGCCGTTCGCCTCTCTCGAACATGAGTGCTCTAGAAAAGCAGTCGATTCGATTCGCGGAAGAAGCGCCTCCCGCTGCACTCGTTCGGCCTCATTCTTGAAGCTTATCAGCGGACCTTCGACGGCGAAGGAATCAATTCCGACGAACCAGAAGAGAAGTTTCGAAATTTCGATTCCCGTCTGTGCGCTTTCACATTCATCTACCGCGGAGGCTTTCGGGGCACCGCAGCTTCCAAGAACGGTAGCTCACTGCCAGAGCGTTGTTGGACAGCGAAAGAGTTCTTCAAGTGTAGGTCATTTGGAAGCCTTGAAGTCAGTCGGGAGACGTTGCGTGGGAACGATTGTTCTTCAGAAAGCGAAAGCGCCAAGTGACATATCCTTCCAAGTTTCCCATTTTAACGGATCAACTGCCTCCCCCTTCTTTTGGAAAAGCGTAGAAGTGAACGAGGATCACGAATAACCATGACCATTAACAAGCTCTTCTTTGAGACTATGCATGTGTCCCGTACATGCGAGACATGGATGACGTACACGAAACATGAGCCTCCTTTCGGTTGGATGGTCCTCAAGTCCCACCGATTTGGATCGCTCCCGTTGATCTGCTTGTGATCAATTGGATAACCCCCGGAAGACTCCGCTGCATCCATCACCCAATGATGGAATTACCGATTACAGTCTGTCAATGCTTCAAACGATTTGCACGGCTGGGTACGCGGCAAACGAATAAACGGATGCTCATGGATCGAGTCGATAAGTTCCACATTGATTCGCTTCATTGACCCCGCTTCGCCGCGTCAGGCGGCAGCTATTCTATGAAATATGAATCGGGACCCTTCGGCTCTTGCGCAAGAAGCTCGATGTTGGAGTCGGCCGAACGAGGTGCAAAACGCCGCGAAGCAAAGAACGCACGAAAAATATTCAAGTTGTCATCCGCAAAACATGAGTTGTTCCATGTGTGACACGCGAAAGAATGGAGGGGTCTAGAAACTTTCGGGAACCACTACGGTCGTCTCCTCTTATCGATTTGCGACGCACTTGGTGATCGTGCGACTGTTGGAGCAAGGAGACTGAAGAGTGAATATTTTCTCCTCTCGAGCGAGAGGATGTCGGCGTGTCCGCGCTCAGAGGTCGCAATTACGGCGGACTCAATATGACGTTATTCCACAGCCGTCTTCTCATCTACTGTTCGCTATTGGCGTTCCTGCTCCTTCTGTCACTGAAGTGGGATGGATACATCGATGCCGACTACTGGCTCGTGTTCAGCCCTCTGTGGCTATGGAAGTTCATCGCGGTGTCGTCTACGCTGGCCGCCTCGTACATCTGGCACCGGCAGCCTCAATACCGTTTCGATCAGGAATCGCTGGTGGAATACAAGTCCATGATGATGTCGATCTCTCTGCATTTGCTCATTTTGGTTTACGAAGTTCTGGTGTGTGACAACTTGGAAACAGCCTCAAGGAGTCGACATCTTTGGACACTCATCTGCATTCCGCTCGTTGCGCTGTGCTGCCTCGCAGTTGTCGTATGCATTTGGTCTGTGAAACATGATCGGCCGTTTGAGGTGAGTTCTCGATATTTGAAGGAGCTGATACGTCGGTCGATCGATCCTTCGATAAATTTATGGCTCAGGTTCCTGAACGTCACTCCGATCGTGCGTACTCGGCTCCTCCCATTCAACTGGTGCTTTTCTCCATCGATTGCAGATGGAGCTGCTATGCGCTGTCATGACAATCCAATTGATATTCATTGCTCTGCAACTGGATCGCTACGTGTTGTGGTCGTGGGTGGTCATTTTCATCCCTCTCTGGGTAGTCTTATGCATTGCGCTGATAGGCGTTCTGTATTCAATTATTTTTGCCATCATTATATCGAGAACTCCTGAAGTCACTGCAGAGCAGAAGCGCTTGACATCTCATGCCGCCGTCTCGTACACACTACTTGTGCTACCGTTCGTTGCGTTTCTGGTGAGTCACCCCTGTCCAGCCTGCCATCCGAAGCTTCATCAGTCTGTTCCGAGTAGTTCGCGAAGACGGGCTCCCGCACATTTTTTCACATAACGCCGTCAAAATCATTCGATCTTCCAGGCTCTTTTGACCAATAAACTCGACGGGAGGAGCCAGCTGACCTACACTGCGTGCTGTATGCCCCTGGTAGCGACGTTCGTCATTCTACTCATCTTATCGTTTTCCTGCAAGACCAGGAATACCTGTGAGTGCATCCATCCCTGTTTCTGAGCGAGATCCGCATCGTCATCGTCTTCGACCTCTTCATGTCTATAAGGTCTCAAATTTGACACCCTCCTATCATCGCAGGGCTTTTCGGATCGCGACAGGATTTATGTAGGTTGCTGATTACGGCCTGCCCGCTTCTCCAGGAGTACGGCAACATTTCATACAGATTGCACAATTACGGCCAACAACCGCAACAGCAGACCGAAGTCGATCATGCCGAGTTCACGATGCCGATGAAGAACAAAAAGAAACAGGAGGTGGAAACTACAGTCGTGCCCATAAGATCGATTGACGTCCCGGATTAGCTAGGCTTCACCATAGAATCGTCCCGAGGAGACCTTCCCCGGATTCGTCTGCATCACGAATCTCTCTCTTGCCTGCGTCGATGTGCCACCGACCAAGCTCCGACTGCAAAGAGGCATCGTCTCAGTCGTCAATCAGGAAATGCGCTCCGAGGAGGCAGAGTCGAGCTCGCTGAGATAGTCACCACCCGAGGGGCGAGCCATCCCGGGTAATGACGACTACGTTGCGGGGATAAAACGCGGACTGTGTTCTCGTTCTTCTGTTGGATTCACCGAGGTTTCTCGGCTCAGGGTGGGGGTCGATGCTGCTGGTAGCTCAGAATTCATGATGCCCGGCTAGACTCTCGATGATTCGAATCATCGCTCGGTGACCTCGTCGATTAGACTAGAACAGACCGACATATCAGCGGCGTTTCCTGCTCCCGTTGAACTGATGTTTATATTCGCATTTCGCTGAACTTAATGGATAGGCTCATCCTCTAGATCTCAATAGTCCCCGTTGACGTCTGTAATTTTCGCTCAGATACTAATTTCCCCCCAATTCATAGATCGAAGCTACGAATGGCGGAACTAACTCGAATCGCTCTGGAGAGAGGGGTCAGTCTCTCCTCCCCGGTTCTTTCGAGCTATTCCATGATCCTCATCACCGTTAGATCAACAATCACCCCTCGCACGAAAGATTGACTGTGTGATCGCTCACGGATGTTTGTCCCTGAGGAGGGCGGGAGTGTCTTCTCTGGGGAGGAGTTTCCAGAGGATTCCGGGAAAGATCGCGGCGAAGTTCGTAGGTCCATGTCAGGATTCCCCACATGACGGAACTCGTAGGATTCTTTCGCTTGATCCCCTGACTCGCACCTGAATTTCAGAGTGGGAGCGGATGCTCGATGGTGGTCATGAAATCTCAGACTGGAAACGGTCTCAGACTGGGGTGCTTAGGTGCACTTCAGGTGTGTTTAGTCCGCTCGAACTTGTTTCCTTGCGGGAGCAGGCTTTCAGCGCCCCTGCAAGGCCGTAAGATGAATACCGATGACGCATCGTGAAGTTGGTGAAACTGAATTCATGAGGTAGAATCTTCGGTTGGTAGCTCAATCGTTCAGAGAGGCATTCATATTGAAGCAAGTACACAATTGTATATACCGTGCAATAAAATGAAGTCGATATATCAAGGAACTGTATCGAAGCGGCAATTCCGTTTATCAATCACTATCGATTGTAGTCACCGTAAAGTACGGCTCTCTGAACAATCGTTCTGTATCATGCTGTCATTATTTCCCGATCTAAAGACTAAGAGAACACTCGCCAGAAGCGCCGGGGACTCCTCTGCACTCATTCTTCGAACACGTCGCCGTAGGCATTCCTCCTCACGCGTTTCGGCTTGGCAGTTACTGCGTCAAAGACGCTGTCATCTCTCTCTGGTGGGGTTAGAGGCGCGAAAGGATCCGTGAAGGACTCCGGTTGACTGTTCGGAGACGGTGCGGGGCTCTGAGGGGGAGGCGCGCCGGACCCGCCATATTGCTGGACGACCTGAGAGTATTGATTGTGGGCGTGCATGAGACGATTCTCGTTCCGGAGATCTTCGAAAGACTTCTTTCTCCCAGGTTGTTCCTCTCCGGCTCGTTCGTGCACGATTTCCTCTCTAGGGGGTTGATACGGGTATGGGGAAGCTGCAAGAGAGTATGGTCATATTGCTCAGCGTCTTCTCGGCTAGCTTAACTGTCTCAGAGCCGACTTAAAGGGAAATGAAGTATCTAGAAAAGCCCATGTCTCCATGAAGATTAATCCTCTGGAGAAATCCGCTTCCAGTCGGAATAAATTCTCTGGCAAATGGATTCTTCAGAGGAATAATCATACGATATCGATCGTATCGCTGCTTAGATCTGACCTCTGGGGGCGGGTTCGTCGCGACGTCCAGTCAGTTGATCGAACCCTGATTGGCCTCCCTCGTCGAAGCCACCCTGCGCCTTTTTTCTCAGAAGCTCTCCGAATTCTGAATTCGGAAGGTCCTTCAACCTCTGGGTGCAGACGCTGATGTATGATATCCGACCGAAAATGTAAGCTCCAAGAAGTCCTGCGGCCATCTTCGGGATCTTGCCGAAAGAAGCATTTGGTTGCCACAGTCCCTTCCTAAAAGCGACTTCGGCGCCAATGACGTAGCCCGCCATCAGAGGGAGGCCTGCGGATGGTGAAACATTGTTGTCATATTTTTCATATTGGAGCATGTAGTTTTCAAGCGACGTGCGCGTAAAAGTCCTCCATTCATTGGCTGGAGGAACTTCTGCAGGGAGGTGCTTGACAGAAGAATTTGAATCAAGGACCAGCAATGACGGTCGGGAAACGTACTCCTCTGGTAGAAAGACTCGGAATCGCACTCTTTCAAGACTGCAATATCTTCGGGGGAGAGTTTGACAGGTTCCTGGAAAATAATCTCGATGATCAGTTCTCCGTCATGGAACCGGGCCGAAATCACTACGCCCACAATTCGGCAATACTCCGCAAGTGGGATGCGGGAATTCCATGAGCTGATCCACAGGATCCCGATGAGGTTTGCAGCTACGCGCGTTCCCCGTCCGGGTCCACTTCACGTGCCGACCCGAATGGAAGCAGCTGACCTCGGAAAATACAGTCGAGTGAAATACGTACTCGGCCTCGACGAGAGATGTCGTTGGGGTTCACAGGGGCCGCAACTCTCCGGTCTTGATCGGCTGAGAAATATTTCTGTTCATTCGGATAGGCTGTCATGACTGCCCCCCACACTTTCGAGCATGTAGTCCGTGTTCCAACTTGCCGTGACAATGATTGTTTTTGTTTACCTCCAGGAGTAGACGATTATTCTTGCGCGGGCAACGGCCAGTGTAATTGTAGTGCCAGGTCGACCCTTGCTTTCTGGCCCAAAGATCACTTTGAGTATGTTCGAGAGGCATAGTCTCGAAGGGTCTCCTGCTCGACCTCCGATCAGAATCGACGAGGGTTGGAGATTCTTGGGGATCCGGTAGTCGGCGTCGATGCCGTCGAGTCAACGAATGACTTGCGTGGATGGAACATGAAAGAGCACTCGGAACGGTTTGGGTGAAGGGAATTGTCCGATCCCAGTTGACGATTTCATGGGACTGCATGTGACAGGATTGTTCCTGCCGGAGGCGAACCACGTGCTTGACGCGCGACGCCGTGACCGAGTGCCAATGCTCACCCCCATCTTGTCTATTCAGGCTGCGCTATGTTTCTTCTCTGAATCGGGGCAGAGTATGAGGCGTCCGAGAACTCTCCCATGACCCATCGAGCTTTTCGGGGTGTCACGACGGTCCTCGTTGAAGTTAGGCCCCTCTTTCCCGCCCCATCGGAATCGATGGTCCCACCCCTGTCTGGGGGCGTCTCGATGCGCTTAGTAGCTTTTCAGGTCGTGGGCGGTTTCCGAATCCCAGCCCCGGTCGGGAGCCTAATTCCGGAGCCCTGAGAGAGGACATCGCACGAAAGTTTGAAATATGAATTTTATTTATCAATTATGTAGTGGTGGTGTAGAAATCGATGGAGAGTCGAATTCCGCTGGAAACCTGCCGGGATCTCTGCTCGTAAAAAAGTGTTGCGCGCTCTCAAATTGCCCTTTGAGAGCCGTGTTCGTCTCTTACACCCAGTACCCGTCATCCATTCGTCGTTGGCTTTCCTCTTATGCTCATGACTCCCGTGACGCTTGTCTCCGTGTCGTCGCCGCCGTCCCACCCCTCATCATAGTTTCTCTCTTACTCTCAACTGTATGTACAAATCGCTTGCGTGACAACATCTCTCTCTTCATAATCCACTGCGAATTTCTCCCTCAGCACCAATCACAGTGAAATCCCCTGGGAGCTACCGATCTTTGCAGCTCGTGACTTATTTCATTTATAAATAAATTTTATTCTATAAGCATTGCCTGCTCCTTGGCAAGTCCCAGATTTTTTCATTCCCAATCCGGACGAGCCGATACGCGCATCCTCGTCTTCGGCCCCATCTGAATCTGATCGCATGTCTTATTCCAGTTTCTTTCGATCAGACCATGATGGCTCCGTCGCCACAGCCGACACGGCTGATATAATAATGGAGGAAATTTCTTTGCGGAGCTTTTTTATGACTGTCACCCCGTGTCTTGAGCTAGTTTGTCCCCCCGCATCATTCAACAACAAGTTCTTCTAGAGCTGACTGGTAGCTCCTTCAATAAGAATCCAGCAGGTTGCGGAGATACTGCAGAAATTCGTAGTAGGAGAGCATGCTTTCGCCACGGTCGTTAATCATGTACTGGGTAAACAATTGTCGGATATGAGAGTCTTCTCGAAGAATCCATAGAGGAGGACGGACGGCGTGTTTCGCTGAAATAGAGTCCACGAAGCTTCTGATTCGTATCGACTCCTCATTGTCCAGTTCAGGCAACGCACTCTGAAACAGGATAGGGTCCACTTTACCGAGACGTACGATCATCCGAGAGGGGCTATCAGGCAGCTATTCGAGGCATCGGGGATGAGTGAAAAAAAAAATGAAATAGGAGGAAATCATAATTCATAGAACTCAACATGCCGACGAGCTCGATGATAATAATTATTATTGATAATGGACACATCGTATGGGTCACGCGAACTCACCATGTTGTCGGGGAGCTGCGAGAACTTGCTGACGCCGAAGACGTTCTGAAGTAACAACGGGTTCAGTCGCCCACCGACGTAGATATACAAGGCGTCCACAGTCTCGAGCAGGTATAAACCAGTTTTATCGACTTTCTCGAAGGATAGCTGCACTCTCGGCGGATTGGGTACCATGACGTGTAGTGGATAGAGCGCCGGGTAGATGAGCAAAAGGAGTTTGTCCAACGGGAGGTTCTTGATTCGCTCCATATCGTAAACACGGTCATCGAGTTTTGTCGAAACTCCGACGCGGAAAGCTCGTTGCTTGAGCAATCCGAGAATCAGCAGAGGCAAGGTTTTGCAGTTTCGCATTATCATCAGGCCTCCCGCCGACGAACGTTGAGTTAACGAAAACGCGTGACAAAGATCCGCAGCTGCGTTTATCATGGCGTCGCGTGCGTCGTTCACGCTGCAGGATATGGTTCTGTCGACAGCCATCTTCGCCAAGAGCCCCACGACCGCTTCCTGGTCGGCCCCATTCAGGATATCCTGCAGTAGTGACGACACGCCCGTGCATAGCGTATGGACTCGAATTCGCCTCTCCCCTTGTGCCGATGTGTACAGCACGGCGGCTTGGAAAACCGCCGTATTGCAATCCGTCAGATTCTCCTCGATGCTCAGCTGGAGCGCGTATCCGGCGTCTGGGTTGACGTTCGGTAGAGACAGCAGGTCAGTGGATCGGACGAAGAAATTCCCATGGAACGTGTGCAGCTGCAGACCTTTCGTGCACCGAATGCGCATTACCGACTCGAATCCTATTTTCCGCGTCAAGTAGTGACGAAAATCGTTTTTGAAGCGTTCCACTTGATCAACCGCCTGAGTAACATGGAACTTCGGGAAATAGTACAGCTGACCAGACGAATACTTCGCAATGCCCGCCAGCGTTGCCAAATCCGCGAACTGAGAGTTCAGGAGGAAAATGTCCACCCCGATCTGTTGGCCAGTACAGTCGAGAGCGAGTTTCTTGTAGAAGTCGGTCGCTGGGTTCAGGTTGACGACCTCTTTGGCTGATCGCTCATTGGGATTCTCTCGGGACTGCAGACAGCCGGGTCCAAGATTGGGAAGGCAACATTGAAATACTGAAACTCGACCACCGATGGGAGACAGCAACTTGTAGGCTCCCTGGAGCGCGGCACCCAGACAGTTGCCCGGTCCACCGGTCTGTAAGGGAATTCCGAGAAAATCGCTTGGTTAGTTCACAGCGATGGGACCATCGTCCGGGTCAATTCCGATATCAAGTTCTCTTGACGCAATCGCGGCCCGCATATCGGCAGACTGTCGACCGTCGCAACTGACCTGAGTTGCACCTAAGCTCTTTAGAAGTTCCCGAACTTGTTCTCGACATTCCAACAGATTGCACAAGAGAGTCTCCGGCATCGGGATGAAAACGTCATCTACGTCCGAGACCACCTGGAATCGAAGAGAAGTCTTAGTTGGCGGAAAATCGGGAGGAAAACAGCGAGCGGATCGACTAGTCGCCGAGCGGAGGGGAATTGCGGACGACTAATAAAAATCCTGCTCAGATTTATTCGCTCCGATGATGACTGCTGCTACTAGCGCTCCTCGTCTATCCTCTGCTCGGCGCAGTCGGACGTGGCATTCGATCAGAGAGCGTGCTATCCCAAGACGGAGCTGTCAGGGATCAATTCCGGACCATGACGCACTGCGAGATCCAGACGAACATCTCTCCCAGATCTTGACGGCAGCAGCGGTCAAGATTGTTCTACGGGGAGCACCAACGACCGTTCAAGGTTGATGATGACGCCCGGAGGTATGGTCACACAGATCGTCGCCTCGGAACATCTCTTACCGACCGGGTCGCCAACAATCATAATGTGAGGATACCAGCATCGATCGGGAGATTTCTCAGCCTTGAGCTCCGCACACCGTTCCGACGGGGACGGTCCAGAATAGGTGCATATCGGAGAGGAAATCCGAAAATAGATTGTATGGAAATACGATTCCGGGAATTTCAGCTCCGCGACTATTTGGGGAGAGGGAGCAGGCCACGAGGAATAAGGACCCCTGAGGAATAGCAAGCTAAACGGAGAGCGGGTTTCGCGAGGAAAACTCACCATCTGACGAGGCATCCGACTGCTGCTGTCGATAGAATAAAAGTGCACAGACGAGTCGAACGTCACAAAACCAATCGTGGTTCTTCGGTCACCAGGCAAATGATCAAGACAATCTAATAGGACATCGGTTGCGACTTTCAAATATCCCGTCTCAACCGCCTGAAAACTGACGTCCAGGACGAACAGATACGTGGCGGCTTGCGGTGGCCGGACCATGTATTCCGAAGGCGCTATGTACTCCACCGTTCCGTTTTGAACTTCGGGTCGCATGTCGGGGTCCCCCATCCGCCCGGTCATCGGGTTCTGCAGGAACTCCGCGGGGAGCTCGTTGATTCGGAAGCAAATATTACATTTCCATCGTTGTCTATCGATGAACTGGATGAAAGGATTGATATAAGTTCGACAGGCGCGGCACCGGACTATCGTGTTCGTCTGGATGACGGGCAGGTTCTTGAGGTCCTTGAAGGGTTGCACAATGATCCCCAGCGGCAGACGACTCTTCTGCAGCAAAGATGACGTTTCGGGAATTTTCGTCATGGTGCACTTCATGATCTCCGGAAGGCAGTTCCTCGCAGCGAAGTCACTCATGGGAACTTCAGCGTCCAGAACCTCGCGCTCCTGAAGAAGATTCACCGGGTCGACTCCCCACAACTTGTTCATACCGTCCCGAACGGAAAGACCAGCCATCGGAGGAATCAGCTGTTGCTGCTGCTGCTGCTGTTGTTGCTGCTGGAGTAGCGACTGTTGTTGCTGTTGCTGATGTAATCCGTACTCCCCCTGACCGTTTTGGTATCCAGCCCCGTTGTTCTGGCCCGTCGGCGGGTACTGCGGATAGTTGGATTGCTGCGGGGCAGCGGGAGGGTACATTGGTCGACGAGGTTGTGCAGGTGCACCCATTGAATGAGCGTTAAGCTTCGTATTCGGGATGAGGGGCGGAGGGCCCATGGGCTGGGTTGGCGGAGGCGGTTGGAGCGGCGCTTGGGGGACCGGGCCCGAATTCGGCTGCTGTTGGATTGTCGGTACCGTGGAACCCGGTTGGAATTGATTAGCCTGCGGACTAGTCGGAAGTCCGCTTGGGGGTCCGTTCGTGAAAGGCATCGGCGCCGGTCCGTACCTCTGGGTGGAATTCGGCTGCATCGGGTTCACTGTCGAAGTCGGAAGAGGTGGGCCATTCATGTATCCGTTGGCAGTTGGTCCGTTCGTCAGGAGCTTAGGCGGGGCCTGCTGATTCCCTTCAAATGGTTGCTGCTGTTTCTGCATAGGTCCGTTTGGAAACGCGCCCTGGTTGGTCCTGTAGAAACTGTTCGGCGACGGGGCACCCGAGCTCGTTTGGGGAACGAACTGTTTAGTGGGATGCCCGCTTTGGACCCCGTGTTGCTGTTGGGAGAAACCGGTGGAGGCAAGCGGGGTCTGGGACGGAGAAAATGTGCTCCTGGTCGGAGAGGTCGCCGCAGGCATGACCGGCCTTGGACTCTGACCGTGCTGAGGAAAACCACCGGGCGTCGGGGGCAACCCGTGGCTCTCACTCGAAGCTCCCGAATTAAACGGCACCCCCGGAAATTGACGATTGTTCCCTTGGTAGGCAGGAGGCATCTGGGTGGTGTGAGCAGCTTGGTTTGGAGACCATTGCTGTTGGTATCCTTGATTGCCATTCATGCTTGTCTTCGGTCTGCTGTGCAGTTGCGGAAACACACTTCGATGACGAGAGAAGGCGGATCAGTTCGAGTACTGCGGTGCCTGGTTCATTCCAGAGCGATTCTCGACTTACTGAGCACCGACCAGAAGACACGCCGCTGCCTAGTGATAACAACAGGCAACACTCCTCACTAACACTCCGAATTTTCCTGATTCGAACGACCACAGTTCTCCTACACGTCAGCCTCCGCGTTTTAAGCTGACGCGTATCAGCTGGCGATGATTGGACAGCGGCGCGAACTCCAACTCTGCCTCTCATGAATTTCCCTGTTCGGAGCTAAAATAGTCACCCGGTTCTCGACCGGAATCTCGGAGAGTCTTTTTTCTGATCGGCATCGATCTTATCTTGTTTCCAGAAGGGTTTCGACCGCCAAAGTCCGACCGGAGACCGATACTCGGATCGAAAAACGGATCCGCCGGTGATGCGACTGCACTGTGAGCTGATACGAGATCGCGGCGTACTTTGTTATTTCAGAGGTTCGGCGGAATACGAGCGAGGACTTGGCTCGCGAATCGAGAATGAAAGTTTGGTGCCACCGAGTTCCGCCCCTTAGCGAGTGGTACAGCTCGATGCCGGTCGGATTCTACCAGCAGAATATGTACCAGTCATCTTCGGCGGCGACGGCGGCGGCCATCGTCGAAAGTGCATGTAGTGGGCTGCAAACTGTCTTTTCCCGGCTTCCGAGTTTGTTAGCTTGTCTTCACAATGGCTCGCGGCTCCTCTGCCGGTTTTGATCGGCACATCACCATCTTCTCTCCGGAAGGACGTCTTTATCAAGTAAGAGAAGCTTTTTATCGGGGAAACGGGGTTCTTCCGTTCCTTCAAAGTACTTCATTAGATCGGATCGAACTCCCGGCTTAGGGAAAAGGGGGGCTGAAGAAGTGTCGGAGGCTATAATTCCGCGCTGATTCTCCCAAGTCTCTCACCGGGTTCTGGATGCGTACGTCGGCCTGTGATGTTGGAGATCCGAGTTCGCTATCGGAGAAGAAAACCTCACGATCATCGAGGACTCCTCTCGATCCCCCGGGAAAAACGGCGATTGAGCGGCGCTGATGAGTTTCCTATTTCAGGTCGAGTATGCCTTCAAAGCCATAAATCAAGGAGCATTGACATCGGTCGGTGTGCGAGGAACCGACTCGGCAGTCGTTGTCACTCAGAAAAAGGTCCCGGATAAGCTCTTGGACGCTTCTTCAATCACGCACGTATTCAGTATAACTCCACGAATCGGCTGTGTCATGACAGGGGGGATCGCAGACTCCGCCTCCCAAGTATATCGAGCTCGCGTAGAAGCGGCAAACTGGAAATACAAGTACGAGCACGACATCCCCGTCGATATGTTGGCGAGGAGAATAGCCGATATCTGCCAGGTCAGTACGACTTCGAGGGACCCTTGGTCAGGCCAAGAACTACGAATGACGTGCGAGATTCTCCGGGAAAGAAACTCTCCTTTTGAAACTCCTCGACTTCTGTTTACAGGTATACACTCAAAACGCAGAGATGCGGCCTCTCGGCTGCTCGATGATGTTGGTTGGTTACGATGACGAATACGGTCCTCAATTGTACAAATGCGACCCCGCCGGATACTTCTCTGGCTACAAGGCAGCGTCGGTAGGCGTCAAGCAGAACGAAGCAATTTCATATCTCGAGAAGAAGTTCAAGAAGAAGGTCGAGTACAGCGAGGAGGAGGCTATCCAGCTCGCCATCTCAACGTTATCCTCCGTCCTGTCGATGGACTTCAAGGCCAGCGATCTTGAAGTTGGTCTCGTGACGAAGGCCTCCCCCAAGTTCCGCGCTCTGTCACAGGAAGAAATCGAAGCTCACCTCTCGGCGATCGCTGAGAAAGATTAGGTTTTTGCTTTCTGGTGACGATGATAATGTCAATAAAGGGAAAGAAAATCCTATTTATCTTTTAAATAGAAACGCAACATCTATATTTTATTCTCCTTCCCATCATTATTATTATTTTAATCTTAATTAAAACTCGCTTGTTCGTTGTCCGTCCATAAGAGGTTGACTTGGACGCATCCTCGCATCCCGACCGTCTATCGTCTTCTCGATACCACGAACTCCACGAGGAGGAGCTCCTCGAGTTCTCAATCGACGTGATCGCTCGAGAGATTCTAAAGATAGAATTCCGTTCCGACGCAGGCCAAATGGATCGCGTGGTGCTCGGCTAAAGATCATCCGCCCGAAAATAGACGTCACTCCAATTCACGTCGGATCTCAATGTTACTCTACGTTGTTCGTTCTACAGATTTCATAAAGCTATATTTCTCCTAAAACTCTCGACAGCAGCTCTCAAGATGTAGCCGGCTAGACAAAATGATATCATTCATCCCATCGAGAGGGAAGTTGTCTCGAGAGCGCACGCTGCGCGGAAACATTACGGAGATTCCTCACACTCCGGACGAAGGCGACTCGAAGTTCAAAACGAAAATATTCTCTAAACGGGACAAGGTCGCAATCTAATCGAATAAATGGTCGGGGAGAATCGACCGTACGGTCCGTTGGAGGTCCTTCGACGCACAACCGCGTCGATCTTGTAGGGCGAGGTATTTTGATCCGATTTCCCCCATTTTGACCGGGAGATTGAATTCAAGCCTCTCCCAGACGTCGGACACGGACTGATCACATTGTAGTCTAGGCGGAGAACGGGCCCGCTCGGTGCTTTCATGACCCGAGAAACACCTTCGAGTACATTTTCTGCTTCATTGTTTCCATGGGCTACCGTGGATTAGAGTTCTTACCATCACTGTCAGTTGTACTCTAAGCCCTTGATGAAGACAACCGCGCTATCCAACATCGTCCAATAGTAGCCGGCTTCTCCGTCTTGGTAACCCGGGCAGAACTGTTTTACGTATTCGATGTTGCTAAGTAGATATTGGGGATTCGCCTGAATGAGCACGTAGACCAGGATCGGGAAGAGGTCATCGGCGGCAGCCGCGGAATTCGAGGCAAGATGCAGAAGATCCATGATAGTTTTACAGCAGAGGAACACGCAGTTCATCTTGTCTCGCGGGGACTGCAAAAGGTGCGAACTCCATTTAGCGAATACTTCTCCCACCTTCTCCGTCGAGCGTGATGTGCCCGATCTCAGAGGAAACGGCCATCGCTCGGAGAGTCCTGCGCGCTCAACTCACCTTGTAGGCGTTGAGGGTTGCGATCACCGCCTGGGCGGATGGCCAGGGACACTCGAGGAGATAAATCTTTGGAATTCTCAATGCTTTGTGCTGCGGTGTGACGACCTGCGCGAGACGCCGAATGTGCGCGTGGAGAACTTGATCCCTATTCAAGTCGATATCTCCGTTCGGGAACAGGGCAGACATGTAAACCTTTCCCATGATCATCCGTTCCAGAATCGCTTCGGAAAGACTGAGGTACTCGTCGGAGCTCGCTATCGACACAGAGACGGAGAGTCAGTGAGCGGGAAAAATCTGTGGGGACCTATCGGCTGGCAAGGGAGATGCTCCGCATTAAACTCGTGGACTTACAGTGCCAGAGGGGATGTGAAGCCATTTCCTTGAAAATTTTCTCCAAGTATCTTTCAACTAGGTCGGCTTTCTCGTCGGACACCGTCAAGCTTCCAAATGTCGCTAACAGTGTCTCGAGCCCGAGACGGTGTTCCTTCCTGTGCAAAATTTGCAGGAACTCTTGCACACAAAATGTAGTCAGGTAGCCGTGCGTGACGCTCTTGTCTTTCTTAACATGAGCGAGGTGAGTTTGCAGGGTGGCCAAAGTAGCTTCGAGACCCTGTCGCGAACGGACCAGATATGAAATGTAGACTGAGCGCTGCCGGTAGTCTTCGCGCATTGTGTGGATGACGCGCTTTTGCCTATGGGGAAGAGTTACGGAAAAATGAACATGAGGGCTTAGGTCGCAGCCGGAGGAATCGGCTCAATCGAATTGGCTCCTACTGAGTTTCTCCATCGTAACTCGACGATCCAACCGGGAACCTACATGGATGAGTTCAGCTTCGAAATACACCGAATCGCCTCATGTAGTTGCGCGGTCAATTGATGATTCTGCAGTCCAATCGACTCTGCGAGCATCATTCTGAGCAATAGGATCAGATCGATGCTTGAGCGATCGATGTTCAGCACCTAAGAATCGGAATGCATCATTGGTACCTTGACTTTCGATCACGTCAGAGAGGCCCACGCTCCTGAGAAAGGAGACCGATACATTCTTCCGGTACTCACATGCACATTGGCTGTCGAGAAAACAGTGCGGAGCTTCCGCTTCGCATCGAGGAACATCACTTCCTCGGGGCATTGCGACGAAGCTTCACTCTCATCGAGATCCAAGAGATCTCCGGACACGGACGACGCACTGTCCGCGACCTGGGGCTCCTCACGGGACTTGCCACGATACTTTTCAAGGATTTCAGAAGGATCCATGACTGAAACAAGATTCGGGTACTCGAAGAATATCCTCGCGTCCACGGTCCGTAAATTCATGCGTTACATCTCTCAGTTGACTCTCACATTGAACAGATGATGGGGGAGGAGCAGAAACTTGGATAGGCGCGTGCTGCGTCGCTACCGCGAGCTCGGGGTCTTCGAAGTCTTGTTGCGAAAGGGACCTTCTGAAACCTCCCGAAGTTCTCGCATCGAGGGTCCTCACTTTGCTGCTGATGCTCTGCTTTATAGTTCCAATTTTTCGAAAGAAACCCCTCTGAGGTCCTCCCGACCGATTGTGCCGACTGTTTGGAATGGGAACACCGCCGCGGTCCCGAGACGCGGACTGCTGGAAAACGAGAAGTGGATTCATCAACGCACACTGCGTGGCAGAGACTTATCTGGGATGGGAACACCCCTCCATTATCGAAGTCTCTCGTTCATGGAAGACGCACCTGTAAATTTATTCTAGGTGTCTTCGGAATCGCGCCGGTCTTCATCTGATTCTGTCGTTCGGCCTCAGACTCCGCCGACGTGCCAAGACCAAAGTAATCGGAGCTGCTCTCAGAGTTTCCATCGGAGCTTTCGGCGCTACCCTGAGGTTTCAAGTTGCTCGACTCAGCAGCACCGTTGCTCATCTTGGAAGGAAAGGAAGGGTGAGGTCACCGAGGGACATCAAGAAAAATTCGCCAGTATGATGTGATCGAAAGTACTTCTCTCATCTCATGCCACTAACCATGACGATATCCCCGTCGAGTATATTCTCTCCAGACAGGGATTGCTCCTTCATAGCGAAACTGAGCCTTCCTAAACTCTGGCTTCCACTGTCTCCCGTGAAGCTTCCAGCGAATGAAACCACCGAGCCATTTGACAAGCTGTGCGCAAACGCTCCCGATATTATGTCGCCCGGCTGCAGAGAAGGAGGAGCACTACCTACGGGCGGCGCGACCCCACCGGAGCTAATATCGATGAGGTTATCTTCTCCAGAATCCAGCTTAATTAGATTCGTCGGGGTCGATTGCCTGTCCACCGGAGCTCGGGCTCCCACGAACTCCGGCACGGCTTCTTCCCCGTTCTGGCCTCTGTCGGAACCCATGATCATGTCTTCCTCCTGATTCTCAACCTCCTGCAGACGGTCCAGGTCGGAGTAGGACGTCATGGCGGCAGTACTCCAAGCGTCTGACTGCGTTTCGGACAGGTCGATTAGTTGCTGAACGTTTTGTTGCGAGAGATGGCCGTGAATATGTTGTTGTAGCGCGTTCAGGTGAGCCTCGAGGTTCTGTTGCTGTTCCTGGGCGTTGTAGGCCTCGCAATCACTGCCGAGCACGTCGGTGCTCCACGTATCGGACACCATAGATTTGGTTTCCTCCTCGGTGATCGACGATCCAGCCCCGGTGCTCTTGCCTAGTCCGAAACGACCGAAACGGTCCTCCATGTCCATCTGCTTTTGCGCTTCTTGACGTGGCGGAGCTCGTCTCCGCGTGGGAATATTCGACGGCGGAGGCACGTGGACTTGTGGGGCTTGCGGTGGATTGCCCTGTAGCAGCTGCAGCTGTTCCGCGATCTGAGAGGGGTTGGGAGGAACCGGTGCGGCACCATGCGACGATGGCGTGTCACGTCCACTGACCGAGGGAGTCCCGGGGCCACTAACGTTCGCCGACACCATATCCGATAAATTGTCGTTTTCGGCATTTTCCTCGAGGTCCAACGATGAAGCCATACTCGCGGCTTCTGAAACGGCCTCCAAATTGTCGCTAGCTCCGGCGATCGATTCTTGGTCTCCGAAAAACTTGGCTCTCTTCCCCGAACCGGTCGATGATTTTTCGTCGAGATTATCCAGGTTGAGTCGAACCCTGGTCGCTGATCGTTTCGACTGCTCCATGCTGAGGACAGTATCTTCGGTGAGCCCTCCGGGGAACTCTCTGCGCGCTGTGGTCGGCAGCGGCATGACGAGCACCTCTGTGATCACCTCGTGCTTCAGGTCTTTCGACGATGCTTCGTCCACCGTCTCGACCGAAGAGGAGTCGAAGCCACTCGAACTTCGGTGCCCCGTATTACGAATTTTGTTTACTTTGCTCCTTATAGCTTTCTTGAGGCTAGCGTCCTCGGACGTCTGACCGTTTGTGGTCGTGGGTGTGAGCGAGGGCATCTGCTCCGGAACGTGCTGCATCAGAGGCATCAGCCATTCCTTGAGCAGTGAACCTTGCATTTCGTTCCCGCGAACTTTGTGGAGTGTTGTGACCAAATCTTGCAGTTCACTCGGACTGATCAGGACGGCATTCCTGGAAAGAAAGAGCGCTGGCTTCAAACATGCGGCATTATTGTGATCACGTTTAGCTGTGAGTCGACGCGATCTACCCATGACTGCTGAATTCAATTCCAGAGAGTCAAACGTTGAGTATATGTCTCCCGATGGTCTGCATACTAACCTGGTCAGCGGACCATTGCTCTGCGAGGTGGAGGTCTGATCTGTTGCTGGACACGTTGAATTCAAGATATCATTGAACAGCTCAGGTTGTTGACTCCCTTGAATGATATCCTCCAGGATATTTGGCAAAAGGTCTTTGTCGAAGTTCCGGTACACCTCTTCGAGGCGTTCGTCGATGGGTTCGTATCGAGCCATGGCGAGAACTTGGACGATCCTCGCAATCTGAGGCGATGAAAACGTTGGAGAAAATAATGTTATTCCATGGAAAAGTCGAGGAGACGCTCTCGAGTAGTTCGTCGACTCTGAGTGCGTAAGAAACTCGGGATCGAAGCTCAAAGAGTCTTCGAGGCTAGAGTGGAACCCACCTGCATGAGGTTGTAGCGAGCGATCTGTCCAATATAGAAGCCTTCCTCGATTATACCGAAGAGCTCGGGATTCACGATGGCCGGACAGATGAAGAAGTAAAACACGAGGTCCGCGCAAATGACGGCTATTTGGCGCGACTCGAGTTTGTTCTCCTCGAGTATTATGGAATAGAATTGGCGAACGAGCCAAGCGAGAGCAGGCGGGAAGCAGAAAATTGATTCCTTGATTCCTTCGAGGAACACGTTTGCGAACATCGTGAGCTTGCTGTGAAGACGGAAGGAATTACAACTCTGACATGAGCACGACCAGGAACCGTTGCACCATTCAGTCGAGTTCACAAGTTCATGGCAACCGAGGATTCAGCTCTTGCGCGAACGAAAGCATTCCGCTCCACCTACCGTAACATCCTCGTGCGATAACTCTTCAGGCTTGCTTCGTATTGTGGAGTCCCTTCTTCCCCAAAGTGCCTCAGACGTTCCTCTGGAGAAAATCTGATCACTGTGTTGTTCGGCTCGAAATCCAAGTAGAGATCATCGTGCACGAGAACCTGAAGGGAAGATCGGCATGGTAATTGGCGGCTTCGTCGAGAACAGGAAGGAAGGCCTCGCAGATTCTCGGATCCTTCCCGAGCGAGCGATTTCGCCTGTCCCGAGAAATCACTATTCCATTCTCCAATCAGGCGATCGTTCTGAAAAGCCGTCTCGGCGGATGTCATTACTTGGATGATGGCGTTCCGTAGAGCAGAAGTCAGGAACAATTTGGCTGGAATGTGAGCTTCGACGAAAGCTTTATAACAACGACTGAAGGTACAGTTCCCGTTCTGCAGCAGCCGGCGGAGTTCGTTGCTCCTGAAAACATGATTCCAAAATGATGGGCGCTTCAGCGAGGTCTACGGTTTCGATTGTATGTGCTCAGCCACGTAAAACACACCGAGGCAGCTGGAGATGCATCAGCTCGTATAGGAGAACCAGTGCGAGGTTGTTGTCTTCAGGTAGAATACAGGCCCCGTATAAGGAAATCATCACCGAGTTTATGAGATGTTGCATCACAGAGGGTCTGGAAATGAATCTCAATCAAGCGAGGATTCTCGAGAATTAGCTGACTCGAGCACAATCGCTATGATGCCTCCCTGGAAATATGACTCGTAGATCGCTCGGGGAAGGAAACAATTCGGAAGAGCGGAGCCAAGCTCCGGACATACCCGACTTTGAGGTGTTCAGCACGGTCCAGGAACAGAGCCAAGAGTTTGGGGTTGTCACGCAGAGCTTTGAGCAGTTCGCACATAGAAGTGTCGGCGTTCCCGAGTCGACGGAACGAATCGATAAAATGCACGGCGTCCAGCTGCGCATCTTTGCGATGGGATGTTTGTATGTCGTGCAGATTGAGGATGTAGCAGTCCAGATTTATTCGCTGGTGGCGCGCCTGCCAAGCTTTTTCAAAGAGCCGATCCGAATACTGCCGCACCTGAACACGGACATAAATTATGGCCCATGACTTATATGACAAAGAGATGTTCTCAGCAACAAAGCTTGACTCCTCTACCCGTACGTCAATCGATACGCATCGGCCCTCCCAAATAAGCGTTGCGTCAGATCATACCACGTTCGATTTGTGGAAGACGCAACCCCATTGATTCATCTATGATCTACGACGCCAGTGGTGTATCCCGCTACCGGAACGTGACAGATTTGAGCAAGAGCAATCAATTATGCGGAACGCTCCTCCCGAGGCTTCTGTATATCGGTGGAGTCGAGCGATGCGAGCTGGCTGAATCGAAAAGGATCGCTCCCCCCCCCCTCTCGCCAGGAGCAGAAGATGTCCGATACGAATGGAAGATAATGTGTGAGGCGCGCTGCCAGATCTCCGAATTTTCGGTCGTCAGAGAAGACTGATTCTCACGGAGTGTATGGAGCTCTCCCCTAAAGAACTTGCATGAAGATGGAATTGACCTCGATCGACCTGAGGAGCCTCGCTATTGAGAACAATCGGAGAGCCTAATGCGATCCCACGGCCTCAATCCGATCTGCGTTCCTCCCCGGTTGGCAACAATCGGCGGACACATGAACTGTCATTGAGATACCGTCAGTTGTCACCGGCTGTCTCCGCGACGCTCTGACCCGCTCGGCTCAAGGGCACTCCAGGCTGCGAGCGAATGCTCATGGGACAAGCGAAGAGAAAGACACTCCTCAGAACTTTTCTTACCTCCTCGTTGAGTTGATGGATTTTCCGCTTCTCGGAACTGACAAACAGCTGTTCTTGCCGCAAGCTCTGAACCAATTCCATGACATCGTAAACGCCACCGCGAGTCATGACTACCGTATTTGTGTCCCTGATCGTCTAGGGCTGAATGATAGGAATGACAGTGGACGGTTTTCCCGCTCTTATTTCCCGAGTATCGAGATAATAAGTACGGCTGATAATGAGGAGTTTTCTCTCAGTCAGCTCATAGCGACTTCGGACACGCCTCCTTCTGAGCCGAATCTCCAGAGCTCTAGTCACTCAAGGGTGAACCCTGGGGGATCTTCTATCATTGCCGATTCGGTTATGAGGACCAGACACCGTGAAAACCTCTCAATATTCGACTACTTTCGTGATTGTTCACCGATTCAGGGAGATTCTCGCTACAGCTGAGCAACACCAACAGACTGTCTGCTATTGAGCTCGGTAGATTCTGCGCTGTTGAGCCTGAGAACTAGTGAGCTGTTAGGGCGCGCGTAGTGGTAGTGGTTGTCGGAACGATGATAGTCGGAGGATATGGCTGATTAATTTGTATTACAAAATTGGGATTTGCGAGCTGGCAAAGCTGCATTCCGGATCAAGATCGCATCAGGCTCACTGCGAGAGCTCCTTGTCGATGTTCCCGGTTGGAATCTTCGCAAGGGCCATTCGAGATTGAGGGAGCGCTTCCTCGAGTGTTCTATCGAGTGTACCTCCGGCACCAGATTCATCTGAGGCTCCAACCTAGGGGTTCAGGATGGACTAGCGTGCCTCCTCGAGGTCGGACGAGAACGAATGGGGAACATCCCATCCCCAGGACAACTCGAGGATTATAAAAATCCAAAATGGAAGAGAATATCCGAGACATGGCAATTGTTCAATCACCGAGAATATTCCAGACAATCATTTCCCTTTTCTGATGGACGAAGTCGCCATTGCCTCCGCATCGAAACGAGCATCCTTGTGTCTGAGAATCATTATCTGAGGCCGATCTCTCCCATTCATGAGAGGATGGAGGGATGATCTGAACATCTAAAGAAATCAGGGCGGAGGAGCAGCCTACATAGAACCCCAGACCGCCTCAGTTGGCACATCTGCGTCAATGGAGCTAGGAAGTCGACCGGCGATAATTCCTAACAGAACCACCCGAATCAGGCCGGATCCCAGGCTAAGATCATCAGCTCTATTCCGATGTTGACAGATTCAGTGTCGAAGGTATTCAAATTTTAAACCGCGCCGCTCAGATGGACTCCGTGGAGGTCTTTCGCCCGTCTTGGAAGAAAAGCTTCTCTGCGTTCCGGATTCCGATGTACCTATATCATTCTTTCATCGGAGGATCACTGCCCTTCATCTGCCAGAATCACAGAGAGAATCCAAAGGATCCGACATTTCGAACTCGGATCCGAGCAGTGAAGCAGACGACTCGCTGGTTCGGAAAGTGCTGATGATTTCTGGTGATTATTGATGCATATCTCGGGGATCCATCATGAAATTTTCTTTCGAAAAGATTTATGCAAACTAATAGAGAACGGTCAAAATATCTATAAATCGACCGAGCTTCCACCACGCCCCAAGTTTTCGCGATTTCACCGTCAGACCTATTTTCCCCAAAGATACTTGAAAAACCCGCCGCCACCGCTGTAGTCGCCGCGGCCGTTGTAGCTCATGCGGCTTCTTCGGAACGGCTTGTCGAACGGCCCCTAGGACTTGCTCCACTCGTGCTGTGTTCGATATCGAAGGATCCCGGGCCCGATCGAGCTCTCGCATCGTGGATATGGATAAGTGTTGGACGAAGCATTGCTCGTGAAGCCTTCCCTAGGGAATCTCTCGCTAGAATATCACGGAGTTCAATCCCAAAAGAAGTGAGTCTGAACATTTGAATTTGCCGCTTGTTTAGGCCCTACAACTTCTTTCAGTTTTCCCTACTCTCCCTTCTTTCCCGCTATGGCCACCTGTGGCATGTCGCTTTCCTTCTTTCAAATGTCTTCGGAGTCTGACCGTGGACAAACGATAACGATAGCAGTAGTCAACGAAACCATTCTCGAGCACCGACGGTCGGTTTGCATCGGAAACTTGGAGAGATTTCCCAAAGATCCATGAGCTCTGCGTTAGACACCTGGAGCTTGGCGAAAGCCCCGCGTATTTTTCTGGCTCCTTCGCCTTCTAGCCCGACGCCGCATGTCCGGAATGCCACGAGCGTAGATGAAATGACCGAAAATGACCAGAGTATGGACGGAATTCATTCCGCGATAAGCTCCCGGAGAACATCGATATTCAAGCGACGCGTCATTCGAGAGAGCTTTCTGCATAACGAGTTCTCGATGTCGGAGCGGCCCTCCGATTGGATGGAGCATCTTTTCCTACTCGAGGTTCAACACATGCACTTTGACCTCCGAGCGGTTATTCCATCTGCTTCGGGAACTCCGTCAGCACCAATCATTGGTGTTGAAGACCATGACTCCTATGATATAATAGCACTCGAGGATGATTCGCTGAACGTGGAGCTCTCTCTTGCATCCGTGGCGTGACAGGGGAAGATCCGTCGCTTCATACGTCAGCTGTATCCTCGCAAGTTCGCGAGTGAAGAGGCATAGACATCGAGCTTGTTCTGGCGATCGAAGAAATTATGTTCGTCCTGATCCTTTCGCTTCCCCATGTTCTCGGCAGAGGCCTCCATTGGAATATCAGTTTAAAGACATTTTCGCTCGCTCGCTCTCTCTCCAGAATGTCCTCCAATGCCAGTCTGGCGGAGACATTCCTGGTTCGAAGAATTGTCACCACAGAAGGGCATCGGTCGCGAACCGGGCATCGGTTCCGCATTGCTGCTCCAGCGCCTCGCTTATTGCTAACGCTCAGCTGTGCTCGCAGGTTGATTCTCGAAAATCACGGTTCGCCCTGCACACAAAAAGACTGAAGCATCCCCGAAATATTCCAGCGAAGCAAGCATTCCAATTGCTTTTGGCGGTGTCTGTGGAATTTCGCTAAAAATTCAAGACACCCCACGCTGGAGAATTTTGACGTTGACCTTCAGCGCTCTTTCGTTCGTTCGTTGATACGTTCGTTAAATCTTTGGTTTTGCTGATAGGCTGGTTGGCTGGCTGGCTCGTTCTTTTCCTTCAGCTGCATGAGCTGATGGACAAACTGAGTGCTGATCATATTGCCGTCAATTTTTCTGCTCGCCACGTCAACGATTCGACCGCGGCTGCCGAAAAAAAAACACTCAGAAGCGAGTGCCCGTTGGTCAATTCTTCTGCTATTCTCTCACATCAGTTGCCCCGGCACTTCATTGCTTTCGATCTCGTCCCATCGACGCCACCGCTGCGCTCAAGAAATCTTTCTTACTGACTGGCTCCTACACGTCGATTCCGGATGAGAAGATTATGTTCTGCCCGCGGGAAATATTATGTTTTGCCCGCGGAGACGTTTATGTTTTATTTGCATCGCGCAGACAGATCCGATCTTGTGCTTCACTCATCTTTCTTCGTCAGTGACCCTGGTCTCCTTGAATTATTATTATTCTCCATCGATGCTGCGACGTGCGAAACGTCACTCACTCGAACGGGCGTGAAAATTCACTATATGATAAGAATGTCAAGCTCGAGTGTCGGAGCACTCTATCATGATGGAGCACCAGGATTCCCTTTTCGGAGCAAAGAGCGGATCACCAGATTCCGATTCGCCCGAGCTCGAGTTCCAGCCCATTACGCCGCGTAGCACGGAATTGTGCCGGAGGTATGAGGACATAGCAAATTCAGAATCCGAATGAAACGGTCAGGATCCGTCAGTGTGGTAATAAGAACTTTGCGGCAGGAGAAACACGGCGACCTTCTTGGCGAATCGGGGACGTTCCCAGGGGATATGTCGCCGAGAGAGCGGAAGTTTTCGACAATCTCCCCATCGACGCGTCGGCGACGTCGAGCCTCGGTGAAACTTCTCGATGCCGGTGTTGTATAACGGCGACGAAGCGCGTCGATCGGCCGCTCAAACGCAGCAAGAGTCAAATTAATGATGTTTATGGAGAGATATGCGCGAGACGACGAACGGTCCCGCAGTGTTCAGTGAGAACAGACATTCTGTAGGTCCGAGTGAGCTTCTCCGCGCGGCTCATGCCTGGAATTGCTCATCGCCTATGACGCTGACGTGAGCAACCACCGTTTTCCCGTGTAGTAACGGAGGGTAACGGCGTGGAACACTACCGGCTCAGGATTTACACCGGAGCTTGCCCCCACTTTCTCTCAGGAAGCCCTCTCGACATTCATTCGATGGGTTGGTAGATAGATGGATTATTCGACTCGACTCATTAGTGCTCATGCCGCTCAATTTGATTCCTGCCTGCCGGAGCAGCCGACTACATGATCGGATTAAACTTATTCACGTCAAGACCGGCTTCCGTCGCCATGGAATTCAACGGCTTGTCGGTTGCATGGTCGTTTCCAAAGTCTGCGATCTATATATGAAACTCGACCAGCCGACTCGGCCCCCAGAGAACCATAAAGCGCCTCATTCAGCCAGCTGGTTTTCTATTCATAGTTTAGTCGTTTCATTTCATAGGCTTATGGGTGGTCGGGTTCATCCATCGATTCCATGGGGAGTGTGTATTATTAGAATTGACGTCGCTTCCGCTCGATCCCGCTGCTTGTTGAGACGGCGACGACCACTACCAGTTGGTTAGATGCCATTTTTAGGTTGTGTGGCCGTCGTTGTGTCAAACACGTTCTCGCAGCCAGTGCCCGGGAGGGAATAGCGAGCCCATGCTGGGCCGCGAACAGTAACGGAACACGCGTCGCAAACCTCGGCTAGACGGGAGGAACGAGCAATTCGATCTGGAGCGGTGGCTCCAGAAATAGGACACGAGAACAGACGAGGATTAGAGGGCGCAGAGTCTGGTCTCACTGACTCAGACGGAGTAAGCTGGAAATCTGGTGCAATCATCCCGTCAGGCTGCCGAGGGACCGACGGAGTTTCGAAAGATCTAGCTCCTAAGCGTCCGCGGGGATTCTGAGTCTGGAGGTCTCTAAATCGTTTCGAGGGATGGCAATCCGCTCAGACGTTCGCTGGTTCTGTCGAATGAATGGAGAGTGGGAGGTCTCCTGAGACCGTTCCCTAGCTCCCAATTTGACCAGTTGTCTCGATACATCAGAACGATCGACGTAGCGCCTGGCATTCTGTCGCGTCTGCATACGGGTGCCGGTGGAGAAATATGGTTGCATTCCGTTCTTTGGTGTTTCGAAAGCTCCGCCCCGGGTTCTTGTTCTTCGCTGGCTTATGAGGTATTCGTGGGGGGATGCGGACAAGCCTTCAGGAAATGTCCGAACGCGGCGCTTCTGCTTAAGGGCATCCGTCCGCGATATTCGCACGGGTATTCGTTGCTAAATTCGAAGTTCCTAGGGATCATTCCGCAGGACAATCGATACCGCTCCTCTCAGAGAAACTCATCGATTGAATTTCGTCATTATTGTACATATGTTCCTAGAGAGGCAGTCGGGAATCCTGTCGCCGAGTGAGCGAACGGCTCGGAGAAGACTGTGTGACACGTCACGTGCCACAGCGTGCTCCTGTAGGAAAAGTCCTCGGAAGTTTCCATCGGTCAGGATCGACGCCCGTCCTCTGAGCCGTGTTTACGCCACTGTCTCCGACGTGTCCCGGAGAGTTCCCCAGCTCTTTCCTTGGAATAGAATCATCGACCGCTAAACGACATATTAGGTAAGCAAATTCTTGAGCTATTCTTGCCTCAGGGCGCGACGAGAGGAACCGCTTTGTTTTTGTGGAACGCCCAAGGACTCCTTCGGGAGACGGATTATCTGGAAGTTTTCCTCTAAGACGTCAGTCGAGTAATTGTTTGTCCTCGCCGGAGTATAAATCACTGTCTGCACTACCAATCTCGATGGCTAAAAAGGTTGGGCCCAAATCCGACTCTTACCTTCTTCAAAGAAACTGTTGTAAGCGTACAGAGGTCTTCCAATCGAATGGCTTGTCATTGGAGCCATTGTACTTTTGAGGAACAGATCGGGCGACAGGATATCCGAACTCTTCGAACAATGAGTCCGTATCGAATATTTCGGCAGACGTATTCAGGGCTGTGTTGTCACACCGAGTAGACAAGCGTGAACGCGTGATCATCCGTCGCGATGATGTCATGTCTGCCGTGACACTAAGCCACGGCTGGGCGCTTCCGACTCGATTCGGTTCGACCTACAGACTTTAGGACTCGTTTTTTTAGATCAAGGGTGAGAGATGTGTTCGCCGCCAAAGTGGAACAGTCACTGGAATCGCGCTCCGGCCGGAGCGTGCCTATGAATAGCGGAACCCTGTTACGGCCGACCTGAAAATCCTGAGGTTTTTCGCAGCTGTTGGGTGTGGATGTGCACCGCATATTCCGGCCAACGATAGTGATCCCGTTAGCGAACGCTTTACATTGAGCTCGATGTCGTTTATCTGAAGCCGGGGATGCTTCATTTTAGAATATCGAAAAACCCAAGAATCGCATAGAAGCCGCTGCGCTGACCGAAAGTCTTAGTTGCCTCGATCGAATCGGTGGGGACATGAGCGTTTTCTTTCAGGCGCAGGCGATACGAGAAGATCGTTCTCGAGTAGATTCCTTCAGTTCTTAGGAGTTCTTTGTTGCCCCTTTCGCCTTCGATACATCTCGCAGCGAATGTTCCGAAAGCAAACAAACTGGCTGGCTGTCCGTCTGTTCGTCGGACTGATTCGTACTGTCTCTGCGTTCATCTGAGTGAGCAATTCGGACGGGTACGCAGTATTTAACCATCGTAAATAACGACCTGCTGTGAGAACGAGGCATTTAAAGATTCCACTCACAAAGCCCCCTCGCTGCGAGACGTTTGCCCTCTGCGGGTCCTTGGTGAACGACGCAATGAGGGCCCGATGACAGCTTTACGCGAACTCATGGAGCTTGTATCGCTTGAGAGCCGCAAGCTTCCGCTCGAAAGCCTGAAGACTCTCGAGTCGTCCGGGGCGGGAATCCGGTAGATTTTTTCGTGATCCGATTCATGATTGATCAATTTCGTATCTTTGACCTTCCGGTGCAGCATTTTGAAGAAGTGCACGTGGGCTCCTCGTTCTTTCTGGATCGTTTTTCGGCTCTGTTTTCGCAGACTCACCGGCGTTGAGCCGCCTGACTGTGTTATTTTCTCGGTGAACGCTCTCGGTGCCGTAGGCGATTACGATCTTTTTGGTTCGGGCTTGGGCGTCGAGTGATTGCCGAAGTTCTTTGGATTGTTTTTCAATGGAGTATCTCCACTACGCCAGCCTCCTCATGACCACGGTTGGCTCATCGGTGCACGCATGATTCTGTGTGAACGTGGACTACTGCTCTTATGTGAGTCAAAAGCCAACGAAACGTCTTGAGCTTCCTTCCCATGATCGAGCATGCAAGTCACGCGAAGCGGCGACACAGGCCGAACACAGAAAGGAAAGTGAACACTCCACTCATGCCATCCGCGCGATTTCCCGGGGCAAGAACAACGACGACAACGGCGCGGCAAAGTGGTTTGAGCTTCGGAACGTTCAATGTACATCGCTATTGCCGCTGTACAACCCGTCCTATCTCACTTAGGGGCCCCGTAATACGTGTGCTTCTTCAATGCTCGCTCCTGGCCTCATCTGAGTGAGTAAGCGAGCGCTTCTCGGATCAACCTGTAGCCTGATCGAAAAACAGTCGATGAGGGTCCCCGGCCTCGTGTGATCGGAATCAGCAGAGGGCATAATCGGGAAACTCCCTGTCGCTTTCCGTCCCAGAGCGAAAGATCGGGGATTCCCAGAATTCTGAGTTTCTCAGAGAGAATCGCCTCCAGTCAGGAGCTCCATGTGTGATGTCGAGCCGCTCGTCAGGAATCCTGTCCACTCGTGAGGGGTTTGAAACGCCGTCGTAATCGGCAACTTCTCGCGGACGTTGCCTTTGTATTCGACCAAATTATCAGTTTCGACTGGCTCACCGCGATCGATAGCAGTGCATTATGAAACGTCGTTTCAAACAGTACCGGAGACAGTCGATGAATCGATTTGCATCCGCGATTTCGATTAGCGCTCGCCACCGATATGTGGTCGTGGAATCTTCATCTTTGAATGAATTATTGGAAGAAAAAATTCGATTTCTCTGAGACATTGATTTGACTGCTGTCTGTTCTTGCGCTGAACATCCCGTTCCGTCAGACAATGACGCGAACGACGCAGAAGGAGGAGCTCTGCGCAGTCCATTCAAGAGACTGTTCTTTCATGAAGGAAGAGCCAGTATCGGATCTTTTCGTCAGCTCCGCCAGTGCTGGGATAAAGACATACCGCCAAACATTTCAATTATCAATTTCCTCCGATGAATGACGCTCGCCGTAGAGCGACCATTGTGGCAGAGTAGGAGACCGTTCACACGATACAATGTTACGCCGCGATGCCTGCCCTTCACCTCTGGCCCTGGAGGGGGAGGCATCGGCAAAATCATCTCTTCTTCCCATATTGTTCATCAGGCCTATTCATTTGCGAGTATTTTCTGTCTCCCTAGAAAAATGAGAATTCCAAAACGAAAAAGTGAAGGGAAAATGCAAGGGACACGAGGGTGAGAGCGAACGACATGAGGCTGACCACCACCACGCACCACGAGTGGTGAGGGCTTCGGAAAGGGAGGGTGCCGAGCCAGCCTCGACTGCCGGCCAAAATCAAATGGTCCCCTGAAATAAACTCGGCTTTGGAACTAAGTGGTCGTGGAAGTGCTTGGGACGCGCGCGAGTGCTGTAGAACTTGAGCTCGAGCAACGTCTCTCGACGGAAGCAGCGACGCTCCGTGATTTTATGTACTCCTTTACCTCGTCCGCATAAAGAGTCGTCCGCCTAGAGAGTCGTCCGCAACGATGCTAGACTCAGCGAGCATTGGAGTTCCCGTCCTTTGATAACAGCAGTGTCGAGACTTTTCGTGACATGTACGGATCAAAATCGCGATCGTTCGTGTCGAACGGATTCTCGACTAAATCAAACAGCAGCAGGTAAATTAGATTGTCTGTTACGTGAGGATATCTGCGGTAGTAATGATCGGCGTAATTAATGTTCTGTGACTTCGGTTTGGCTGCGACTTTGACCAATATGCTTCATACCCTTCGCAGAACTAGAATCCGAATGGTAGATGGAGGAAACGTTCTAAATGCGGACCAATTGCGTAGACTCGTTGATGCCCTGACTACGGGGAGGGAGTAGCTTTTAATTCTATAAAGTTGGGGACCTCATGGAGTCCCTCAGCTTTGCTGTGCATCGATACCCCATGCGTTTCTCCATGCGTTATCATTCATGAAGAGATCGGCGCGGGAACATAGAACGTTGAATCACAATCCCTGTGTTGTAGAGTGGTCCCGCTTTTTGATCCTTTAGTCTCGTGCGTGCCTCGCTGCGTGTTTTTCTGTGTGTGCATCATCAGCAATGACATTCGGAACGAAAATTCCCGGAAATATGGTACAGATCTGAAACGTGATCCCTCCGCCGAAGACTCGTTTTTGTGAATTGTGACCGACAACACAAAAAAAAGAAACGAGAAAGACAAAATGCGCGACAACGTGACTTTCATTTTCATCTCCGTAATCAGAATGAGTCTTCCGTCCTACGGCGCGACGCCTGAAGCGAGCTCCGGCCACCGATCGGTATGCAATGGAGCTACCGGGGACGGTGATTCTGCGCTCGCGGTTCTTTGTCACCCGCTCATTCAGATCCCGGAGTCCAACTGTATTGTTCATCGGCCGGAGTTTGTTTTCGGCCGAGTAAGACTTTTCCCGCCCGCGTTCGACTGAAATAGATACCTAGTTACTTATTCACGGAGTCGTTTCGCCCGAGCGTGGGCGACAGGTCTCAAGTTCTGTCTGTGGGTTGTCAACGACATGAGTCCCAGCAGTGGAGTCTGCAGCTTGGATTATGGAGGCCACGGAAAGGGATCTCTCTCCACAAACACAGGTATAGACAATCGGGAGGGCTTGCCACTTGCCAGTAGGTGGGCGCACTTTCACACACGCAGACAGGCTAGGGCATCACCACCGGGATTTTGACTATCGCAAACATTTTACGTTGACGTGCTTTGGAACTCTTTGTGATTGTTTCAACTGGGCCGCTATCTCCGAGACGTTTAGCGTGTTGTGAACCATGCCCGACAACTTCAATATCGTAAAGCACACAGCGCTACTGCGAGCTTCGATGAAAAATTGCGGTGAGTCCCCTGAATGGAACGCTGGCGATTCGGGTATCGGATTTTTCCCCGGGGAAGTTCCACAAATTTTCTGAGGTATCTCCTCGTCTCGGAGTCCGATTCAATAGCTTCCAAGGCGAAGGAAAGGAGCGCCGAGTAGCTTTGTTGGGCTTTCCCGCGTCTCTCGCGTATCGGTGTTTTGTCCAATCCTAGGATGAGCTAGATAATCTATTGATCACTTGCCGTATTGGCCGGCTTCATCTAATACCTGCATATCGCTCTCTTGAAATCGATTAATGCGCGCCCACCCCACCCTTATCTCGATTCGCAGTCGCTGAGACATCGAGACAATCAGGTGGACGCACCAGCGTTGATTTCTATTCTCGTCGAACGTTAGCACGACGTCAACGACATGCTTTGAACTCGAAGGAATTTCTGCGTCAGATGAATCCGCGTAAAACTTAATAAATCCGCGCGCATCCTTCCCCCTTTGATCAAGCAAGACAAAACTCTCGCCGCCTCGCTCTGCTTGAAGTTTGGACGCAAACGATTTATGGCTGGCCGCATATAAGTAAAGTGCGGTGTTTGCCTTCAATGCTGAAGCAATGAATCTATTTCTGTTGGTTTAGGAGATCACTGAAAGCTCTCGGGGATTCCGCTACGAACAACATTCTTGCCAACGTCGTGTTTGGTCGGAGTTTGCTATCGGGGGACTATGTTTGATTTGTCGGGGGATTTTCTCCAGACGACCGGCGTCCTCGGCGCAGCGGTGTGTGCTCAATTCTGTTGGCCAACATGGGATGTTCATACGAGATATTAGGTTGGACGGCCTCGCGGACGGTCAAGGTTCAAGGTTGCGTGAACGAGTCCTGTCGGAGGAGCTCCTGGGCGATAGGTCTGGGTGAATCTGCTCTTTGAAAGACCATAGGGAAGCTATATTTAGTTAACCTTTATGGGACCGATTCGCCCGTCCGCACGTTGACGGGAGGCTGGTTTACGCTGCCTTACCACCGTAGCAGAACGAGGATTAGCGGAGGGGAGAAAATGTATCTTGTTTCCGGGGTCGCCGACGTCCCTCGGACGATCTGCGCGAGATGGGCGTATAGGTGATCGATCGCGTGACCGAATCGGGGGCGGGCTCTGAGGAGCCCATCGACTGAGTCGTCACTCGATTCGGCTACGCATCCCGAGGAATTCAGGCCCGAACTCAGCCTCGTCTGTAGCGGCGAGAGAGTGATCTCTTCGGTGCGTGTCGCTCATCATTGGAATACCTAATTCTGGAGTATGTAATTTCCCAGTTACGTCAGTTTACAACATTCTACGACAGTCCGACGTCTTGTCGACGCGGATCGTTCGCCGGCGATTTCTGTTGATTACTTGCTCCTTGTCAAAGAAGACGTCAGAACGAACCAACAACAAAGAATAAAGAAGCGACATCGCAACAATTAAAAACGAGCTTCTGGCTCTTCTCGGCACGATGGCTCCGTCCGCGCGTCCCTCTTTTGCCCGCCTTTCAAGGTTTCAATCCGATCATGAGAGGAGAGCATTTCTTTCGTGAGCACGCCTCTCGTGACGACGGACTGTCCGTCGGAGGCGGTTTCTGTGCTTTGCTTGCATGTCTCGCCAGGTGCCATCCGTTCCTTTGTCGCCTGGCGCCTTGATTTCTGATCACGGATCGGGCGAAGGCGTTGTCGTTCGCGCGTACCCATTCGTTCATTGATCTGCAATGAAGCACGACGGCCCTCGGCATAATAATTATCATCTGACGATGTCGTCGACTTCGGTCCGCGTAACTTCTTGCGATCTTCAATTTAGGCTCGTACGAGCGCTCGCACACTTTCGCTGAATGGTGTCCGACCGACTGCTCGCGGATATCTTCGTTCATTGATGGTCGTAGTCGTCGTGATGATGCAATGAACAAAATAGCGAATGGGGCTTGCGCCCTCCCCGCACACTGCAGCTGTTGCTTTTGGCGTCAATGCTTTGCTTTCGTGTGCTTCCATCGTCTCTGTTTGTGTCGATCGCCCGGGGGTTAAGACTTTCGTTCGAGGATCAGTTTCGGGTCAGCGCTGCTTCTCCTTGTGCTTACTACGCCGACAACGGTGAAGAGGTGACTTTGATTGAGTAATGGTCAAAACGTGTGTAGCGAGAAAAAGAAAAATAAACCGACGACGCAGCACACAATAACATTATTGCCGCATGATTTTGAGGAATATGTCTCCTTTTCTCTTCTTTCCTGGGCTTGAGATCACCGAACGGTTCCAAGCCACGCAACGATTTCTCCGCTTAAGCCGATTTGCCTCGCTCACCAGCCCGGCGTCTCTTCCGACGAGGAAAGGCTTCAGAAGCGACAGGATACCGATTCCTCTCCGAATGCAAAAGCGTCAACACGGAAATCGGGCTCGTGATGGATCATTGACAAATTTGTTGCGGGAGAACGTTCCAATGCAAATCCGTCCGTTAATTAAGTGAGACGTGGGCGACGGCTGTGCAGCCACCGACGCTTCGGAGTCGGTGAGGGCGAGGTCCAACCTCACGAATTCACTTTTGTTGCAAAACGAGTAGTGATTTCTTTTTGTCTATCGGATCACCGCGGAGGTATACATAGAGTAGGCGGTTCCCGGAGCAGCTGAGAAGTTTCGATCGAAACCGCCTTGAAAAAAACTCGAGCTGTGGTCAAGGGTGAACTCGGGTGGAACCAGTCTTCATGGTGAGAAGGCGTCTCAAGAATAGCACCAGTGTCATGTTCGTGGAAACATTCGTCATTGTATCGGTTCGGAGACATTTCGAAACCTGCAATTTTGTTTTTCTATCTTGGCTCGTATATGAATTTGTCGTCGGAAGGGGATTCACAGGCTCCCCACATGGGAAGATGTAAGAGAACTGACTGGATTATTGGTGAGATACTTGGGAATCGAACTTTTCTCATACACACGTTATTGCAAGCCACTCTGCTCTCTGAATTGATGAGCCATTCCTCGATGCGACTCAAATTCATTTGCTCCTCCGTCCCGTGGAGAACCGCAAGTTTGGAGGGGGAACTTTCGAAAAATTCTATACATTCTGCTCAGAAATCCTCCTGACCAGAGAAATCGCATGACCACACCATGATGTCTTGAGGAATTCAAGCTTGGGCTTCTCAGGGGCTCACTCATGCCCACAAAGCAGACAGATAGACCCACTAACACGAATAACTAAGGCTCTGAAGTTGGACCGAAGAACAGCTGATGATGCTTGTTCGGCTGGCGTGCTGGCTGGCTGCCTGCCTGAGTGGCCGACTGACTCACTGACTGACTGGAGAGGCCCGCGCGTCAATCCGTCTTGATTAGTTACTTTCTCACTTAAGCTCACTCCTAAACGTCGTTATCAAGCTGCGATGTCGAAAGGACGTGTGTCCCCGACTCGGGATATCTCGCTTATGGATCTACAAGCGGTACATATGTATATACGATTTTCGCCCGTCGTCGATGGCGACCTTTCGCATGGGGGTCCGGGAGGTGCCGCAATTGGCGACCAGATTTTCTCCTCGGGGTACCTGAAGCAACGAGCAGCGACTACTGTCTTGGACCGCTGCGTTTATTGGCTTTGACTTCGATTATTACGAGTCGTCCGCTGTCCGTTGCTCGCGCTCACTTCGTCCGCTGCCAGCTCTTCTGGTTGATACTGACGCCGGACCGTTCCGTAGCCGAGGGACATTTGTCAAGGCTCAAAAAATAGCGGCGTAGTTTACCTCAGCTCGGGGATAGTTTGCGCTAGATACGGTTTCGAGCAGTCGCTTTAGTTTTTCCACTCTCGACTTCTGGTCTTATTATTGCGCCGTTGATGCCAGAGCCGGCTGCTACTATCCGCATTAAATAGTGTTGTTTTCCTCCTTTTTCCCGGTTATTTTTTCCCGGAGTCGGATCCCTCCTTCATACAGTCACTGGTTCTGAGATGGCTCTCGCTGCGGCTTCCGCCGCTTCTACCGCTGCCGCAATCATAGCCTGGCGGCACTTTCGCATTTCGGTCTGGTCAGCACAATTTGATGTTTTCGCTCTAATGGCAACAGATTCGCTCTTCTAAACACCACCGTGCGCGAGCAGCGGCATTCGCTGCCTTTGCAGTCATTGAGCGCTAGTTAACCTCAGTCGGCAGATTACTTCGCAACGAGCAATCTGTTTTCCCTTTGTCGAACGGATTCGTCGTCTTTTCTCCGCTTTTTTTCCGTGCTGCTGCACTCACATTAGCAAATGCAGACATTCATTCGAGCGCAATCACCACTGACAAATGGGTGGACCAGGCCCCGTGCAGATCTCCGCTTAACTCCGACGACCTGTGACTTTTCTTTTCATCGAAAATTTTCTTTTGCACTTGAGAAGCGATGCCAAGGTCAGGCAACATCGAGTCAAGTGGTGGAATTTTTCACTTGAGTGGAGCTCCTTTGAATAAGCTGTTCCCATACATCGCTTCGACGAGTATTCTGAATTCAGTTTCATTCGAGCTTCAGGGAACAGCCCCTATTTCCAAAAGTCCCCGCTGGAGGCGAGGAAACAGCGATGCAGAGGCGAAGAGCGTTCGCTGAGACGAGCGGCCCCCACGGAGTAGGAGCGTCAAAAAAGGAGGGGTGAATCCTGAAATTGAAGAATGCCCTTCGATTCCGTCTCGGCAGTCTACCTCATTTGCCGGATGTTTGAGGATTCGGTCACCTTCCGAAGAGCCTTCGGGGAGCGCTGTGCGAGAGCGAGGGATCGCGTATCGCTTGTTTCTTCCCAAACTGGAACTCCGGGCGCTTTTCCAATGGGTTAGATTTATCCATTGGTCCTGAGAATTTTCGCATGAGGAGTGATGGCCTCCGACGCCGTGACCGTAATTCAATGCTTTCGTATGTTGAGCCGTACCCGAGCGTGAACAGTGCTCAAGAAGCGAAAACTCCAGCGAGATCGCTGCTTCCCGACCATTTCCGTATGAGTCGATTGTTTCCACAAAACCATTCGGGATTTACCGCCTGTGAACCATTGTGTTCTCGAAGCTTGGCCTGTAATCTCGCGAAAGTCGATCGATGTCAATTGGAGCGCCGTAATGGAGATGGTTGGGCATTTTTCGTCCCGAAGTTCACGATCCAGGGGCCGCGGCGGATTTGCATCCGTTACATTTTTTCATACAAATTCACGAAGGAGTCCCAATAGCAGTCGAACTTGGTCGACAGCTCCGAATGACGACCACAACGCTACCCCACTTCCGATCAAGCGGTCAAGGCGGAGCGAGATTTGTCGCTTCTTGAGTTGAGCGACAGATCCGATGTAAGATGTGAGCCTTGTTCTCTCGATTAGGATTAGGGCCAGATTTCTCCGGAGGATTTGTCAAAGTGAAAGACAAGCAGTTCTCTGTGTCAGTGGCTGAAAGCTCGGGCCGAGTGAAATGTTCCTTCAGCTAATGCCTCGACAGAGGGATGATCCCCACAGTTCGATCCGGCTGCCACAAATTCGACTGACAATATCGTGCGAACTCGGGACAGTCGCTAGCTTCGTGGAGTTTCGACGTCCGATAGTCAATCAGAAATTATGCGATTCCTAATCGGGAGTTAGACTACAAACAGTCGCAGAGAGTCTTCTGGGCTCTCGGATTCCGCATGATACTCTCGGAGAGAATAATCGATGGACGTAGCGAGCGAGCGCCGGATACGCCATTAGGGGCTCGATCATCCGACACGGAATCGTTCGAGTGTGGCTTGCATAGTTGACTCTCTGCCTATCATTGAACAAGGGCTCCAATAAGACTCTTTCGTAACAGGTAGGAAGCGTCAACTTGACTCTTCTGGCTCATGTTTCTGCCCGCGACTCTATTTTCGCTGAGGCGAATCGAAGCCGTCGCTCTCACGACCGCGTCATATCCCGCGGCCCGCGAGAGGAGGTCTCGAATTGTTCGAAGCACGTCGCGTGAGTGCGGATGCGCACGGAAGCAAAACAACGGGAGAAGAAATCAGGAATTGATTCGCAATTTCTTTTCATCGACGAGTTCTCTCAAATCGACTCATTTGAGCGATGATTATCCACTCAAGAATATTCCCGATATTTTCTCGGCTCCCCGCTTATCTGCTGCTCGTCGCTCTTACCCCGGAAGCTCACTCCTGTGTTCTCATTGATACTGAGCGCCTCTTGGGCCTTAGAAGCCAGGAGTCGTCAGCGGAGAGCTCGACTTTCATCGACTCACAATGAGAGCAGGCAACTCCTTTATATCAGTCGATCCTCTCGATCAATGTAATCCGAACAAAATGACTCCCGGATTAGGCAGCGCCATATGGGTCCTCAGAAGAGTGTTGTGCCCCCGTTTGATTCGGAGTTACAAACTGCGGCACGGTGAGATCTCAGTCAGCGAAAACCCAGAGGCGTTCGAAGACGTCCGGATGCGGAACAGAAAACAATACTCTTGTGGAACTGGCGAACTGACGGCTTGTGTTTTTCAGCTTCCAGTGTTTGGTGGACGACTGTGGATGGTGCTGAAGGAAACGAGCTAAACCGCAAGCGATTTCTCACAGCCATGAGTCAACTGCACGCGAACCTCCTGAAATTGCTTCTCACAAAGAAGCACTTGAAGATTTCAGCTCTCAAAGCTCGCAAGTTGCGCGATTCTCTGAAGAAACTCCACGAGGACGCTGCTGGCCGAGGTCAGGAGAGCCAGTCGTACTTCGGAGTACCTCTGCATCTCCAACAACAGGTACTGTATTCTTCTTTCGCTGCCATCTATGTATTATTGGGAGAATATTCTCCGAGGTGACATTGTGAGCGATCCGATGTGTCGACCGTATTAATGGAGGTAAATTCGGCGAAATTATCACTCCATTGATATATTCGGATCGAGAATCGAGACGACGCGACGGTCCTCAGGCAGTGTGCGCGGACCGTTCAATCTGCTTCTCTATTGGAGCTGTGTAGGAGCTTGAAATTCAACGCGGAAGTTGGGGGGGGGGGGTTTACCGTAGTTGGAGAGAGACTCCAATCATATTGACCTGTATCGATTTTCCAGGCGACTTCGTCGCTCACGTCGAATCCGGTTCCTCACATTCTGGAAGCTATCACCTCGCATCTCTTGAGTCAAGCTTCGCATGAGGGCATTCTGCGCAAGAGCGGCAACGAAAGACGTGCGAATGCGTTGAAGGATGTCATGGAGCAGAACAATGCCGAAATCCCCTCAGATTTTGAATGCTCGATACACGACGTGGGATGCATCCTCAAACGGTTCGTAGTTCTCACTTTAGAGCGCAAACTCGACAAGAGAGTCGGTCTCTCGAGAAGCATAGGGATTTTCCAGAAAAAAACGAATGAAATGTTGATGGATCAACACAACAAAGGTTGTCCGAAGTGAGGGCAAGGCGTGAAATGTTCTCAATCGCAGGTGGCTCAGAGCGCTCCCAGAACCCGTTATACCCAGTATTCTCCATGAGGTCTTCGTGAAATGCGTCGAGTTAGAGTCACATCATCATCGTACGCAGAGTCTCCTCATGGCCTGCTTACTACTGCCCACTTTCCATTTGAATACTCTCAAACATGTGGCAATATTCCTCCAAGTAAGTTCGCTCTCGGGGTAAAGAATCCGTCGAACGAAAGAGATTATTCGCCTGGCATTTGGACGATTTTCGAGAAAATGTGGATGATGAGTCCTCTTCTGTGCTCAAGAATTGTTTAAGTAATTTTGAAAGCCGAGGAACTCGATGAGAGTGTTCCGTCTGAATCATCGGAAGATGTGTCTGGGGAAGATGTTTATATAAACTTTAAATTTCGTTCATCCAGGAAATCTCCAAACAAGAGACGAGGAACAAGATGTCGAGCGCGAATCTCGCCAAGATACTAGCACCATCTTTGATGCCCTGCGCTGTGAAGGTCGAGACGAACCCGGAGGTGGCCAAAAAATTCAGCGATATGTCAACCGTCGCAGTTCAGGTGCTCATCGATCATGCTCAGCTGATCGCAAGTCTACCTCCGGAATTGGAACCCTTGAAAGACTCGTATAAGATCCTCTCCGACGATGAGCTCAGCGATCACGGAGAACCGCTGGTGAAACGGAAATTATTTACCTTCCTTAAACCCAAGGTGAATATTGTCTTCCGCGAGGAGAACAGGCAGCGGTGCATACCGAGACTCAGTGAAAATACGCGACCCGGCTCACATTCTAAACGATCCGAGAAGTTCTCTCCGACAGCACGATTGTCTCGGGGCCTTAGAGCTTCAAACAGTCATTTCGTTATTTTTTCATTCCAGCATGGTAATCACAAAACTATTGTGCGCTCTTCGGGATCCGGAAGGGGCTCACGGAAAGCGAGCTCGACGAATGCAGTTTCGAAAATTGTGAAGAGACCCACTCCCCCACGGATAGAGCCTGACGAGTCCTTACAAGAGCCCGCCGAGGTCAAACCTGACGTCAGAGTCACTCGCAGTGCCTCTAAAAAGCGCCAGCTCAGTGCCGAGACTGTGGGTCGCATCCGCGAGCGACGGGCTCTGAGAGCGATCCAGAACACCCGCAGCCAGCCGAGCATCAGATCCTTGCCAGTAGTATCTGGCGGTCGGAGAAAATCAGTTCGACGGTCAGTATGCCGTGCTGCCCGCCGGATCCATGTCTAACAGTCGGATATGAATGTCGGGAACTCCGAAGCGTCATCTGCCCCTCAGATTCTGTCGTTCCATAAAAAAAAGCTTATGGTGCTTATTTTTTTGCAGAGCTGCAACTACTTGTCGCGCTGAGAAATCGGCGGGATCGCCTGCCCCACAAAGATTCCAGTCAACGAAGAGGCCCGACACCCTCAAACTCAGCGAGAACGATCCGCTCCGAAAGCCTGTATGCGATGACAATAAGGTCGAGCTCCGCAGACCTGCAACAACAACTATCTCGGCGGTCTCGAACTCAAGGGATTCCGTTTCACCCTCTGTTGATAAGGAAACTGCGCGCAAGAGTTTCTTGGCTGCAATGCTAGGTTCGCAGGACTCCCAAGTCGAAGCTAATCTCTCTGAGGAAGTGGAGAACCATTACAGGAAAACTGAGTGTATCCCTAGCGGGTGAGTTCTCTCGTGCTCATATAAGGATATCGGACGCCCTATCCCGAGTCTCGTTTACTCGCACATTGTCATTCGCTACGGAGTGGGGTTATCGCTTTGGAATGGGATTTCCTGAGTTCATGTTTTCGGTGGGTGAATCCGTGCGGGAATTTAAGAGTTCGTTCTTCGACTTTCAGAATCGATCAAGTCGACAGCATAGAGCCAGGTCTGGATCGTCACGGAGCGCTGAGGAAACCGCTGATGCCTTCGAATCGTCGGGCACCCCGAAGAGAGACCCCTGTGTCGAAAGTCACGGCCACAATAACTGTACAGCTGTGAGGCGCTGGTTGTAGGTAGTCATATTCTCATTCCAAGGAGCGCTTCCCCAAGTGCCCAGGATGCAGAGAGCGCCGTGGATTACGCTGTCGCTGGATCACTGTTTCACCGATTTCAATCTACGGCACGTGAAGGTGCTCCACAAAGGGAAAGATCTCCAGCTTAAGTTTCGTAGAGCGTGTAAAACCGCGCCGTGAATATATATGATTGTATATTGTGGAGTCTGCGGACTACCGGAGGTGTACATACTGTGCCGTAAATAAATTAAAACCGTTGTTCAATAACTTTTCTGAAATCGGTATAATGATGTTCCGGATGGACGGTGTCGAACGATTCTCCCAATTATTGTACAATTAGGTTCCTCCGTTCCCCGGAGCGAACTCGCGCGTCAGATGCACAGTTGTCGACTCCTCCCGCGGCAGAGTTTTTCCTATCCTCATTCGAGAGGCCATGCAGATCGAACTCTGCGGTTCATGACCTGCTTGGTGTCATTCGATCCCGCAATGAATTCCTCACGGGATGACTAAACTGGAGTCTTGACCCTCAATCATTCTCTCCCGGATAGAACCTCGAGTGTATGATGGACGGTATTGTAGAACTCCACTCCGTCACGGAAATTCCCGGAATGAAGTGAACCCTTTCCGCGTCATAGGAACGACGAAGTCGATGTAGCGACACCGATCGAGGAAGCCGATCGAAACCTGGCATGGAACGCGAGCCGCTCTTATCCCGAGCGTTTCGCGAAAGCGTCTTCCGTAGACCTATCGAGGCGCTCAGCCGATTCGGGTTGCGAGGGGGCGGACCGTCAAATTCCGCTCCCATCAAGCTTTTTGCATGTGCCGGCGTCGTCCTTTTCGGAGCAATTTACTTCGCTGCCGATACTCCTGCTCACCCGGAAGCCGTAGCCGTAGACGTCACCCGAGGTGGTGCAGTTCGGGAACGGCCCCCGCAGGCTCAAAACAGAAACCCAGCTTTCCATTTTGAGAGACGCAGCGGACATAGGGTTCGAGTCCTCTTTGACCGATTACTGGCAGAATGTGGTAAACCAACGATCTTCAAGTGTCGAATCGAAGATGAGGATGAGGAGTTATATCTGCCTCAGATCGACAAGATAGTGAGAGAATGTCTCGAACGTTTTACCGTGGTGATTGATCCAGGACGAAGGTTCACCTTGACGCTGAGCTTCGTCAGGAGTATACGGTCGATAAGCGACAAAATAGACGAGAAAAATATCGCTGTAGGTGAAGGCGGGCTCCTGCACAAGGCGCCCGCAGGGGACAGGCACACCAAGCTGCGGACCACAGATGGTAACTGGCATGAAATCACGAACATCGAAGTCGACGCTTGGGAAGTGGCTGCGAAGGTCAAAGATTCTGGGCTCATCATCACCTTCCCGAACTCACCCGGTCCCATTCGTTTGACTCGTGAGGAGATTGACGGGTTCCTTGCAGACGTATTCCGCGACGAGGAGATCAAGGTCGTTAACCCTCAGACCCAGTCCATGAAGTATCTGGATGCGAATACGCTGGAAACGCTCTATACCTGGGACTCTCGACAAAGAATAGAATTGGAAGGAGATTGGCTCTCGGTGGACCCGTTCCTGATCGAGTTCCTGCTACAGAGAATCCGCCCGTTCGCGAATCAACAGCCTCGAACGACTCCAGATTGGCTTCGCGCGTACGATTCTCGCGTCGGGAATCAACCCTACTACAACACGAATCGGGACGGACTGTACTTGGTGTCACCGCATATGGAGGCGTCCGAGGAGAGCAGGTGAGTAGTCGGACGTTGGCGTACACGACCAGTCGTCGAGATGCTCATCGAGGAAGAGCGGAAGCGTGCTAGGGGTCAGGTCGATACTATCGAGCACACGGGGAGGAGAATCCTTGCTCACAATCAGGATTGTTCCGAGGAATCGCCTCCGATCAATTCATCACACGGGACCCTCACTGGCCTACTGCCTGAATCTTTCCGATATTTGGATCCGGCATGCTCGGGCCGCGGAGGGGAACCACGGACGTGTCGAGAACTCCTGGCGGAGATGCCAGTTTGCTTCCCGAGAGAAGAGATTTCACTGGCATCGTCACGTGTCCACCTCCCGGATACTCTCCGGTGAAAGAAGTTTCCTTCGGGAACAGCGAGAAGACGGCAGCGAGACTAATGCTCGAGCGACTGATGAGACTATAGAAGTGCCTAATGAGAATCCGGAAAATATTCAACGCCTAGAATGTTCCACAGGCCGCTGTTCGTCATGACTTACGACTATCTCCCGGGATATTGCCATGAGTGGCGGCGTTCGCCCCTAGAAGTCAAGAATTTCAGGTGACGGAATGAAGAGAATCGGAAAAGCCTCGATTCCGCCCACATCGAGTTAGCCCTATTTGTCGAGTGTTGGCTTGAGGTCTCTTGGGCTCTGAGACAATGTACAGATTTCAGCTTCTCTGTGAGCACACTCGGTGCATACGAGGACGAAGTAGACGAGACACAACCGCCTCATGCAGACTTGCTCCTGAACTTCGAAGAATTGCGAAAGAAGTGTGAGAGGGAGCGCCCATTACAATGGGAGTCATCTCTGAAGATTCGAGCGGCAACCGAAGTCAACCTTCGCTTACAGATGTCGAAAGCAACGACGAAAACTACGCTGGGCTGAAAAGTCTGCTGGAACCCTCTTTTGTCCCAGTCCTGAGAAATTTCGATGAACATTTCCTCCAGGTGTTCCTTTTCGCGGGGAAATACCTGCAACAGTAGTGGGTCTTATTCAGAATCAATGAGTCACTGAGCGATGTGGGACGGAGGAATCTGACGTGGATTATCTCCTAAACTCCATACATTGATGAAATTGCTGATCATTCCTCCATTCCAGCTCTGAACTGAGAGATGTAGTGGGCTGGCTTTCGAAAGTCGACGCCATTTCGCGGAGGATCGGAATAAATGGTTTGTTGGATCATGATAATTCATTGGAGTTAACTCCCCCTGAGGAATACCACAAAGGGGTGGGATCGACGAAGGTTTTTCCGTACGTCATCAGATTGAGCAGGCTCCAACACCGCAGACCAGATGCAGCCGTGGCTCGAGAATCATCCGACAACATCCACGGAGAGTACGCGAAGCCTTCTTGCGTATTTCAAAGAACGTGGGTCGCCGACGCCCATGCTCATCTGCATTGACATCGTAGGACATCCAGTGGACACATTAGTCTCGATTTCATATTGCTTGAATAGGAAATTTGAGCTGGTAAACTGCAAAAGGTGGGCAAAGGACTCCCGGTGGGAACTCTGTTCCCTGTTGGGCAGATCGAAATGATGGCCCCACACCTTTCCCGTCATACCCCCCGAACTTCCGGAATGCTCGCGCCACACTGCCGCATATACGCGAATATACGATGTATTAACACATATATACCTGATCACCATCCACAGAGAGGGTTCCTGTGTTGAGAAAGGCTTCTTCACGTGGTTTGCTCCTCTTGCATCACCCCTGGAGCGTACGAGCCCTGCTTCCGGGCGCTTATAGGAATCCAGCCCTCGAGCGTTCTCCGGAATCCTGCCTCATTGGATGAGGCCAAGCCGGAAAATGGGAGAATAAACCGCAGAAATCAATGACCCTCCCCTCGCAGCTTTCACCGTCGCGTAGTACTCAGTGGCCGCAACAGTCCTATCGCTACCCGAGAGGAAAGAGAGTCATGCCGCGGTCGATTATGTCGCCGGTTGATGACGACAGCAGAGCTTTAGAATGGAGCTACATGGGTTCTTAAAGCTGTCGCCAGAAAGCGGTATTCACTCGTCGGGAACACTCGTTTCTGAAGAACTCTCATGCGCGAACGGAGGATGTCGTCCACTGAGCGGACGGCCTCGGACTGACGGAGCACGACGAGCTCCATCAACGCGCAGCGATTGCAATGCGGACCTATCAAACTCATAGGAACCGAGAGGCGAGAGCCGTTGTTTCCGCTTACCGAAGACTCGCCAAAAGATGGTGATCCCACCCTCTGGCGCGGACAATGGCAATAGCGGAATGTCTCCTGTACCTACATTCTTGTACACTGTATATGGAGGATGATGATATTTTTCGCGCGAAGTGTGGTATACACAATGTGATAACGTTCTCCTAAGGTCTGACTCGGTAAGGGTAAGTCGCAACGATGAAAGCGTAGACTGAGATTTATTCCATTGTCAGGCAGAAGGACCGGTGGATCGTGACTTATGGTGCTACTTGTCGAGCTCAGCGAAGAACTTCTAGCCCCGTATGCCCAGGAATCCACTCCGGTGCTCGCGTGTCGAGAAACCTCGCTCGGTCACCCTGGGAGATGGCCGGCTGACCGATCCGAAGCGGCGGCCTTTTGCTCGAGACAACGCCCATGTGGGCAATGCCAATTTGCATTGGTAGTGCACAGCGCTCCTACTCTTCGGCGATCCGTCGCCACGCTCCGATTCGAGTTCGAGTCAGTGGGAACCGAGTCAGACCATGGATGTCTCGGACGGATACTCTCCCGTGAATGGTCCGTGGCCACCAGGCCAGGCTCGAGTTACAGACTCCGCCGGAGGTACCATATGTCTGGATATGGATGCGACTTTTTTTCAATTCGATAGCGTAATGCAGAAAACTTATTCAGGAAGTCGAGCAACAGTCCTTCTCCGATTATCCCATGGCCGAGAGAGTAGAAGAGTGATGAATGCTTATCGATCGTCGGCGCACAGCGATAAGTTCTTTCCTGAATAAATCGGAACGCTTCTTCCAGGTGTTCCTTGTTTATCTCCCACAGGATCAGTGATTCAGAATTGTAGCTTTTCATCATTGCCTCCCAGCGAGGAACCGCCGGAGCGATCGGAAGTTCAACGACGCGCGGGAGCGATTCACTGACGGTGGAATCCATCCGGCGAGGCGGGATCAGAGAACTTAAACAAGTCGGAATAAAGAGAATCCGTATCGCGCCAGTAGCTCTGGGGTACGGAGCCTCACGAAGATTTCCGAGGATGCTTATTGATGCTCGACGTCTCGGAATAATTAAAGGCTGGCCGTGACATTCCATTCGGATCCACGGTTTCTCGGGAAGGCATTCGTCAGATGACACGCTCATCGATTACGACCGTGGAACGAACTCAAACGGATCCGATGACTCAATATAGGACAAGAACAGATTACGGAGGCGGA